TGAATAAAAGCCAATCGTTACCCTGACTTTCATGATGATTCGCATAATACACGTGTTCTGTAAAAAAGAAAAATACGTATTTTTTTTTTTAGAAAAACATTTCATATAAAATCTTCATTTTTTCTATTTGTCAATTTAAAAAAAAATTTTCACTCTCTAAGGAATTACATAGTAAAAATATTTAATTTAACAGCAAAAATTCAATCACTGATTCAAATTGTTTGTAATTTATATTAACAATTTAGTTAAAAATTACTAATTATAATTATATTCATTTTTAAGCTATATGTTAATTAAAAAAAAATTTCTGCTAACTAATTTAGTAAATTAGTGAGAAATTTCTACTAATTTTTATAATTCAAATTAGTATAAATTTTTACTAATTTTTAATAAAATATTAGTAATATTTTTTTTTTTTACTAAAGTTTTAGTCGCAAATATAATTTTTTTTTCAACCAAAAATTACTGTAAATTTGTATTAGTGAGAATTTTCACTAACTTTTATTGAAGTATTAATATATGATTTAGTTTTTTTTTTTACTAAAGTTTTAGTGAAAAATGACTCTAAATTAGTAAAAATTTCTCACTAAATTAAATTAGAAAATGAATTCTCTAGTAGTTTACTTTTTAATAAGTTATTTTTTACTGTACTGTTGAGAAAAAATACAGCCAAGATTTTACTAAAAGTTTTTTTTTCTTATTTCAGATCTAATTCTTTTTATTAATTCTGTAATGAGAATAATTCTATAATGAATATTATCAAGAAAATTTATTTCGAATATTTCAGAATCAAAATAATTGTAAGACAAATTTTCAAAATTTTTATTTAAGTAGGACAAATTTTTTAAAAAATTCTTAAATTTACATTTTTATAATTTTTTTAAATCTGATTTAAGAAGTTTATTCGAATTAAAAATTTTGTCATAGTTTTTACTTTTTAGTTTTGATGGTCAACAAAAATTCAGGCAATACTTAATCAAGTTTTACGCAGATTTTTAAATAAAAATTGAATTTTTAAAGATTTACAATTTAGATTTTTGAAATTAATTCAACTTCAAGTGATTTTTAATTTTAAATTTTTGATGATTTCACTAAAAAATTTATTAGAAATTGCAGACAAATATAAAATAATTTGAAAACCATATTTTTAATTGAAAAATAGTTTCAGATAGTTAAATTTTCAAAGAATATTACAAAAATAGTTAAAAATAATTGTATTTCCTTAGAGTTATAATTGAAATTATTAAATTCCAAAAAATTTCCCATGGAAAATTTTAGAAATAATTAAATTTTTGAAGCTTTTAAATTGAAATTTTTAAAAATAATTGAATTTCAAAAGATTTTGTTAAATTTCAGATAATAATTATAATAAGAGAAATTTTTAACGATTTCTGTTAATAAAGAATTAATTAGAAATCACATACAAAAAATTGAATTCCAAAAGTTTTTTAAATAAAAATTTTTTTTAAATAATAATAATTTAAAAAAAGTTAAAGTTGAAATTTTTAAAAATAATTCAATTTCAAAAGATTTTGTTAATTTTCAGACAATAATTAAATTTTACAGAACTAAAAAAATTTTATTAAATAATTTTAGAGATAACATTTTTTAAAAGTAATTGAATTTTCAAAGATTTACAATTGAAATTTTTGAAATTAATTGAACTTTAAGTGATTTTTAATTAAATTTTTTTGATGATTTCATTAAAAAATTTATTAGAAATTGCTGACAAAGATAGAATAATTTGAAAACATTTTAAGTGAAAAATGGTTTTAGATAGTTGAATTTTCGAAGAATATTATAAAAATCATTGAAAATAATTAAATTTCAAAAAATTTTAGATGAAAATTTTTAGAAATTATTTAAATTTTCGAAGCTTTTAAATTGAAATTTTTGAAAATAATTGAATTTCAAAAGATTTTGTTAAATTTCAAACAATAATTATAATAAAAGAAATTTTTATTAATTTCTTTTGATAAAAGAATTAATTAAACATCACATACAAAAATTGAATTCCAAAAGTTTTTAATTGAAAAATGCTTTCAGATAATTGAATTTTCGAAGAATATTATAAAAATCATGAAAAATAATTGAAATTTTTGCAAATAATAAAATTTCAAGTAATTTTGAATTAAAATTTTTTGGTAATTTTATTTGCTAATAGGGTAAATGCACCAGTGGTGGATCAGGCACCAATGGTGGATCAACAGCGTTAAAATGGTTAAAATAAGCTATTTCTAATTGAACTAAATGTTTCAATCGTTTAGGGGAGGTGTATAGATAAGTTTTATGAAATAAAATCATTTGAAAATATTTAGGAAAACAAAGCAATACAACAATTGTTGATTTTATGCTTTTTCACATGAAATCTTAAAAAATAATTGTTTTGTCTAAATTTTTTTAATTTTTAGAGTAGAAAGTAATCAATTCTTTCCATATAGAATACTTTTGGAAAAAAATTTACATCATTAAGTTATTTTTGTGTAGTGTAAAGGGGTAAATGATCCACGACTGGAGCAATGTCATTTTATTGTTGAATGAGGGTGTGAGGGGGTGTAAACGTTACAAGCAGGTCGAAAACTACACGATAGTGTCCTTGAAGACTTGTTAATTCATACTATTGTAAAGATTACCCTATATTTTTCATCTGAAAAAATCTGTACACCTTTAAAGTCAAAATAATAAATTTAGTAGGCTTAATTGATCCACCACTGGTGCAGTTACCCTAATTTTTAAAAAATTATAAACAATTATTAAATTTTTATAAAAATTTGAATTGAAAAATAGTTTAAGATAATTGAATTTTTGAAGAATTTAATTAAAATTATTAAAAATAATTAATTTAGTGAAGAATTTTTAGTTAAAAATTTGTTAAATAATTGAAATAAAAAATATCTGAAGATCTGCATTATATACTAAAAAAACGTATTTTGTTTAAATTATTTTTTTTTTAAATATAAAAAAAAGTCGTATTTTATTAAAATAAGTCGAAAAAAAAGTCGTATTTTTGAAGAAAAAGTCGTATAATCCGAGGCTTGTTATTGTAGAAGCAACGTCATCTCTTGTAAAATAATCAAAAACTTTTTAATTTCACATTTTTTTTAAAAAAAAAGTCATCTAATTTTGATTTTTTTCTTTTTTGCAACAAAGTTGTTATGCATCTAAAAAGCAATTAAACTTTCTTATTATATCTTCATATAACTCCAATGTGACCTAGAAAAAAAAAATACATTTCGAGAGCAACGAGTTATAATGAAGTTAATTAATTAAAAAACTTTTCTCAACAATATTATATATAAACTCATCTAATAACAAGGTTACTGCAACAAACGCACGAGTCTTATCTTTTATCATCAGTTACTTTCAAATATAATAGTAAAAGAAAAAATCCCCAGTACTTTCACCTCTAATTTCTCACACCTAATCTCATAATTTCCTCGTTTCCTTTTTTCTTTGATTTTTTTTCTCATATTTTTTTTCCCCCTCTTTAAAGATAATACTTTTTTTTTAAGAGAGATAATGCTAATTAAAATTCCCCTGTGGGTCAATTTCTCGAAGATGACTAATTATTTCGGTAAATTCGTGTAAAAACCCAAACAAAACAAGATTTTATTACAACCGAGTGTAAATAAGTATAGTTATTATATAACATAATGTAAAAGCAGATTCAACTATTTCAAATATCTTACAATTATTCTGATACTTTAGAAAGGCTATATATATATAAGAAAAGATATATACGCTGTTCATATTCGATTTAGGCGCAAATAAGTGGAACAATTCAAGAGTAACGGTATCGGCTTCTCATCAGGGACGTACAGCTATTTTTTTCCAAAAAAAAAAAAAAAAAAATATATAAAAATTTCACATTTTTTTCCTCATTGAATTTTAACACAAATTTTGATTCTATTTATTTATTATTAATTTACTATCAATATTTAATTATATTTGCAAATATTTTCAATGAAAAAAGCTCCGACTCTCTTTCAGCGCAAAAATAAATTTTTTCTCATAAGAATTTTACAACAAATAAAGTTTTACAATTTCTTTTTTTATATCATTGTAAGTTAATTGAATTTCATAATGTTATTTTAATAATAATCTGTCACTTTAATTTATTTTTTTCCTTTTTTTCGCAGCTCTTAATTAGGTTAGATAAAAAAAAAAAAAAGAAGTTTCCGTCCAATTTTTCGAGGTGTCGACTTTCACCTCAATTATAGTGTCACCGTCTCTCTGTTTCTCTATTCAAAAAAAAAAAAAAAAAAAAAAAAACGTCAGCATTGAGTTGCAATTTTTGTTGATGATTTGACATTTTACGACTCTGCATTCTCACTAATGCGATTCATCAAACGTTGTTTTTTTTTCAAACTTAGCAAAAATAAAATATTTGATACTATATTTTTTTTAAATAATAAAAAAAATTAAATGACAATATACAGTTTCAGATAACAAAAATATTTTTTTTACATCATTTGATGATAATAATAATAATAATAATAATAATAAAATAACTTACAAAATCATGTCTGGTTCACTTCAATATTCATTTTTTTTCTATTTGTGAATTCAAATTTTCTCTTATATCAAAACATTTCCAAAATTTTTCTCCTGAATAATTTTTTCCTTCTTCAATTTTCAATTATTCTTCATCGATATTATTATTAGAAAAGTTTTTAAAATCATTTGCGGATATTTATAATAAATATAAATAGGAAAATTTTAGGTTATGAAACTAAAACCAAGAATTCGTCTGATAGTTGAATTTTAAGTTTTAAATAATTTATTAACTATTTAAAATAAATTATTAAATAATTAATTAATTATTTAAAATAAATTTTAATACTTTAAATGTAGATTTTGGTTTTTAATTAATCCTCATTTTTAACTCTTCAGTTATTTAACATTTAACAATGAAAACAAATGAATTTCTCGAAAAATATCGAATATCGATATATTGACACCAAAGTAACTAAATTCACTTGATCACGTGACTATTTTGAAATCTACTGCATTTAAGGTTAGATTTTCTGTCAGTGTTTCACATAAATATTAACTTTTAATTATATTTTTTTTTATATAAATTGAAATTGTATATTAGGAACGAAAAAAGTAAATTGTTTAAAATTGAAAATGAAACATGAACACAATTGCTCGCAATGTTTTGGTTTCTATAAAAGTAAATCTAATTCTACAATATTGGTCGAATTGGTTTCACAATGTTTGTATAAACATATAGTAAAACGTGTTTGGTGAAAGTAACCTGCAAAATTTACTATATATATATACACACAAAATCCAGAAAGGAATTCAAGCACAACTAGTGCGGTGAAGCCGCAGTCCTGCTGCTGTGGATTTGCGGACGCAGGATGTACGCTTTATAGCCGCAAGGCCACATTCTGAACTGGTAACCGTATAATTTATCATAGGAATACGAAGAAAATTTACCTCTTTACCCTCTATAAAAATAAATAATAAAAAACGCCCTCTTTCTTTCGACTTTTTTTTCTCCATAAAGAAAGAAAAAAAAATTGACCCGACGAGCAAAAAAAAAAAAAAAAACAAAAATTTAACTATAAAATGAAAAAAATACAAATTAATAATATATAAATATTACTTGAAATCGTATTATTTACTTCGGGACATTCACCTTGTCACCGTAGCAGAAAACTAAATAAAAATAAATAAGTATCAATATCCATGTAAATTTCAAGGTAAATGATTGAATAATATTTATCAAATTTATTTCCGTGAAAACAGTGTTTTATAATTTTTTGCAAATGAAAGAATATTATAATATTTTGTTATATCTAATTTATATAATTAAAAAAATAACAATTATAGTTAATTATGTTAAATTTTTGTTAAATTTAAAAATTACTAATTTAGTCATAATTTCGTAGAAATAGAAAATTTTCGTTAATCATAAAAAAAAACTGCGGTAAAATGTGTCTCAAAATATTTTACAAAAAAAAAAATTTATTGAAATATTTCCCTAACTTGTCGAATTTAATATATATTTATCAAATTCTCAACGATCAATCAAGATATTTTTTTTATCCCATTTATCCTTCAATATTTTATTTTTCTCGACTTTGCAATATTGTATAATTACTATATATTGAATTCGAAGAATACTCCTTCTCGTATTCTCGCCTCTTCTTTTTTAATTCTCAAACTTATATAACAGAAATATAAATTTCAAGCCTCGGATCGACATAAAGGCACAAAAAAAGTCATTTTAGTCGATTTACATTAAAAAAAAAAAGTCGAAAAAGTAGATTTTTTTTATTTTAACAATAATATTTTACAGATTTTTAAATAAAATTTTTTTTTTAATAAAAATACTTTTGGAAGCGTTAAAGTTGAAATTTTTAGAAATAATTGAATTTCAAAAGATTTTGTTAATTTTCAGACAATAATTAAATTTTACAGAACTAAAAATAATTTATCAAATAATTTTTGGATAACATTTTTTAAAAGTAATTGAATTTTCAAAGATTTACAAGTGAGATTTTTGAAATTACTTGAACTTCAAGTGATTTTTAATTTATAATTTTTTATGATTTCACTAAAAAATTTATTAGAAATTGCAGACAAAAATAAAATAATTTGAAAACCATATTTTTAATTGAAAAATAGTTTCAGATAGTTGAATTTTCAAAGAATATTATAAAAATAGTTAAAACTAATTGAATTTCCTTAGAGTTATAATTGAAATTATTAAATTACAAAAAATTTTCCATGTCAAATTTTAGAAATAATTCAATTTTTAGAAGCTTTTAAATTCAAATTTTTGAAAATAATTTAATTTTAATTGAAATTTTGGATAATAATTCAATTTTAGTTGATTTCTGATTGAAAATTTTGATAATAATGAATTTGGAATTAAAATTTTTGAGAATAATTGAATTTTAAAAGATTTTAAATTGAAAAATTTGAAAATAATTAAATTTTAGAAGCTTTTAAATTCAAACTTTTGAAAATAATTGAATTTCAATTGAAATTTTGGATAATTATTCAATTTTAGTTGATTTTTAATTGAAAATTTTGATAATAATTAATTTTGAATTGAAATTTTGGATAATAATTGAATTTTAGTTGATTTTGAATTGAAATTTTTGTAAAATAATTGAATTTTATTTGATTTTGAATTGAATTATGATTTTGAATTAAAAATTTTTGGTATGTAATTTTATTTGATATTTTTTTAAAATTATAAACAATTGTTAAATTTTTATAAAAATTTCAATTGAAAAATAGTTTAAGATAATTGAATTTGTGAAGAATTTCATTAAAATGATTAAAAATAATTAATTTAGTGAAGAATTTTTATTAAAAATTTGTTAAATAATTCAAATAAAGAAGATCTGAAGATGATCTGCATTTTATACTAAAAAAAAAATATATTTTATTTAAAATTTTTTTTAAAAAATATAAAAAAAGTCGAAAAAGTCGCATTTTATTAAAATAAGTCGAAAAAAGTCGTATTTTTGAAATAAAAAGTCGGAAATAGTCGAAAAAGTCGTATAATCCGAGGCCTGAAACTTTTCTGATTTTTCTTAATTCATTCTTTGCCTGTACCAATATTTTTGTTTTTTTTTTTTTCCAAAAGCAGGACAATAGAAAAATTTTATTTTCAAAACATTAAAAAACTTTTTTTAAATATGATTTTTCTTAAATCAATTTCTTGAAAATATAAAAAACTTGACAAGTTTTTTATTCAAATAAAACTTTTACAAAAATAAATTTCTATTAAAACAACAATATTATACTTTAAAATAATGTTTTTTAAAGCTGAGATATTTTTACAATGTATTTTTTTCTAATTTGTTTTTTTTTTTAGATACACAATTTTTTATCAACAGTTTCTCAATATATTAAAATAAGAATCGTTTTCCTTTCCAGGTCACTGAATGTTGAGGAAAACATCAAATTTGGCAATCCATTGATTATTATTCTTTCTCATGTGATAATACATATATGGTTTAAGTTTCGAAACTTTTAATTGAGACCTTCGAACTTGCACATATATATCGTCAATTAAATATTGATTCTCGGAGAAAAAAATAGTACGTATATAAACGGTTTTAATTAAAGAAATTTAACTGTTATTTTTCATTTATTTTAAACTATATTTAGTTTGGGACTCATTAAAAAAAAAAATTTCGTTTATTAAACAAAAAATAATAAACATTTTTTTTGGCGGATCCGAAACTAAATTATCATAAACAAAGAATATTTTAATAAAATTGGATAATTATAAGAATTTTACAAGTTAACAATGATATAATTATATAAAATTTAAATATAATATAATAATAATTATATATTTAATTATATAAAATTTAATTTTCTTTTTTTTTAAATTTTGATAAGCGATCACCGCGGTTATTCAACTTACATTTACTTGCAAGGAATTTTATATCGGTAAAAAGACCTGTACTAAACGGTATATCTATATATTGTATTGTAATTTAAATGCCACGAAGATATTGTTTTCCATTTTAAGGCCTCATTGCTTAAACTAAGTGCAACAACAAGAAATTTCACGTGTAGCGAATTCCTTACATCAAAACAAAGCCTGCTTTCCTTACATTTATTTGGCACTCAAAAACAATATATTTTCTCCAAAACAATTGAATTAAATTTTCGTAATATATATAATTTATTTTCTCTATATTCAATTTTAAATTGAATATCAGGCCTCGGATCGACTTTAAGACACAAGAAAAGTCGTTTTAGTCGATTTATATTCAAAAAAAAGTTGAAAAAGTTGATTTTTTCAATTTTAACAAAATTTAATTGGTTAATGAATATTTTCCTTTAAATAACTAATGTTATTAGATATTAAATTAATTTTATTAATTTTGTAATGAGAATAATTCTATATAAGAATAATTATCAAGAATAATTTTAGAAATATTTGAATTTCAAAAGATTTTGTTAATTTTCAGAGAATAATATTTAAATTTTTACAGAAATGAAAATAATTTATGTTTTGGAAGAAAAAGAAGAATGATTACACATAGTTAAATTTTCAAAAAATTGAATTTCAATTTTAATTTATTATCATTGAAAAATTGGAAAATAATTTAATTTTTAGAATTTCTTTTGAAAATTTGGAAAATAATTGAATTTTAGTTAATTTTATAATAGAAAATTTTTAAATTAATTGAATTTTAATTGATTTTGATTTGAAATTTTAAGAAATAATTTCTAGTGATTTCTATATTGATGAAGAATTTATTAAAAAATCACATAAAAAAATTGAATTCCAAAAGTTTTTAATTGAATAATTGCTTTCAGATAAATTAATTTTTGAATAATTAAATTTCAAGTGATTTTGAATTAAAATTTATTGCTAATTTTTTTTTGTTTTTTTTTTTGAAATTATAAACAATTATGAAATTTCATAAAAATTTGAATTGAAAAATAGATTAAGATAATTGAATTTGTGAAGAATTTCATGAAAATTATTAAAAATAATTAAGTTAATGAAAAATTTTAATTAAAAATGTGTTAAATAATTAAAATAGAGAAGATCTGAAGAATTTCTGCATTGTATACTAAAAAAAAAACGTATTTTATTTAAATTTTTTTTTTTAAATATAAAAAAAAGTCGAAATAGTCGCTTTTTATTAAAATAAGTCGAAAAAAGTTGAAAAAAGTCGAGAAAGTCATATAATCCGAGGTCTGAATTTATATTAAATAAATAAATATAAAAATACACATGATAATAGAAAAATACAAAATAATAAAATTAATAATTATAATAAATAAAAATTAAGGTAACAAACTATCAAAATTAATAATAAATAATTAAAATAAAATAAATTTTTAAACAATTTTTGAAATAATAAATAAGAATTCGGCAAAATATTTTTTTTTTAATCTTAATACATGAAAATTCATCACTTCATAGATATATATTATTATAAATTTCACTTTTTAAATAACTAATAGCTATATAAAGTATATTAATTGCGTATAATTTAAATTAATTACTCTTTATGAGCAATTGTAGATAATAGAATTGAAAATAATTTCCGCCCCTCGATTGACTTTCACCGCATGCTATACATATTTTTGTATATAAATGTATGTGTAATGTAAGTGCGTAATCTAAATAGTATATACCTTTCAACGATTAATATATTGTTGACTGAAAATATATAATTTTATCAACATTTACTGGCTAACTGTAAAATGATAATATTGTCAATTGTATCGTACTAATAAAAAAATGCAGATTGCAAAAAAGATTAAATGTTTATGTCAATAGATATATATATATATATTTGAGATCAAAAATAATAGTGTACAATTAACTGGACTTTGCAAGGAAAACTTTATATAGAAAGCTATTGAGACTTTTAATTTCATTCTATTTATATGGACTTTCTACTTTTAGATTTATTTTATTCATTAAATTTTCATATTTTTATTTCAATATTTATGTTTTATTGATAAAAATTGTCAGTTTTCAAAATTTTTTATTATTATTTTATAATAAAAATTTTTAAACTATAATTTAATTTAGAAAATATTATTATTTAAAATAATTTTTGTTTTATAAAATCAATTTAATTATTTAAAAAAAAAAAATTGAAATAGTCAAATAACAATATAATAAATTGTTTACCTATCGTTTATCATGGCTTGTTTTCTTATTAAATTTAAGTAAATCAATTTTCTGAAGCCATATATATTTCAAATATTAGTTTAAAACTTTAATCCCATATTATACAAAATTTACTAAAACTTTAAAAAATATTTACCTACAGTAAACTTAATTAAAAATTAATAATAAAAAAAAACAGCATACTAAAATATAAATCAAAAACAAATAATTTAGAAATTAAAGATTTATCAATTTTTTAAAAAAAAGTTCAGATTTACAAAATAATCTTTGTAAATATATTCTGTGATAAAGATGTATCAAAAATTTATGTCAAGGTAGAAATTGAGAAATAAAAAAAAAAAAAACATAATTATTGATTTATATAAAGAGAAGAAAATCTTCCAGCATCCAATTCTTGTAACAATTTTTATAACGCTTATTCACACTTACATAGGGATGCTGCGGAGGGTTTTTATCGTTGCTATATTGATCGAAGTTTATATGGACCAATTATAATAAAAAAAAGGGGGGGGGGGCAAAATATTGAGATAATCTTACCTTAGAAAAATTGACAGCTCCTAAGTTGACATTCCATTCACAATTGTATTGTTTTTGATGAATTAAACACGCACTTCTCGATCTTTCTTGCGAATCAAAACAATAACATTGATATGTATATATTTACACTTTGTTCTGGATTTACAATTTGTACACAAGAACAATTCACGCCGGAGATTCAATTCAAAAGTTTATAAGAAGCCATTCACGACCAACCGTGTCAGTGTCGTGTCGATGAAAGTATGGGATGAAAAACACTACACAACTATAGCGAGAGCAAAATATAATGATGTGTGTAACAATGTGTACATCACATTTTACCGTAATTGTGTGTGTGAAACTGTCTATTTCACAATTATCCCGCAAACAGCGCCACAAGTGATATTTTTTCAAAGCTCGCGTCGGTAAGGAAGAAATTAAAATTTTAACCAAATAATGAAAGTGGTTATAATCCGTGCTAATTCATTTTTAATTAATTAATAATAATGAAATTAAAGTTAATAATTTAAAAAATGTTAAAACTGATTTAAAAACACTTTTTCTATTATTATATTCAAATTGTATATTCTTTAGGCCTTTTATTATGAATTTAATTAATTAATTATTTATTTTTAAATAAAGTATAGTTCGTTATAAGAAAAGAAATTTTATTAAATAATAATTTATTATCTTATAATTACATGTTGAATATTTTTATTTTACAATAAATTATTTTTTAAAAAAAAAGTAAAGAATTTTTTTTAAATATTTAAAATAAATAAAATACTTATATTCTAAAATTATTAATAAAAAATTTTTTTTTTAATTAAAAACTGATTTTACAATTTTTTACCGACAATTATATTAGTGTCTAAATTTCTCAAAATTATATTTCTAAATGAAATTATTATATTTGTATAAAATATCAGTTGTGCCCTTAAGGGTTATTTTTTTTTTTTATTATTACCAAAAATACAAAATTAAAAAAAATTTCGTTTCTTTATAGTACATTTTCTCATTATCTCTATTCAAAGATCAATTCACACGATAGAGAGCTTCTACGGAGGTAGTTAACAATTTAATGAGTTTAAGTTTGACCTTCGTATTGATTTATGCGAAAAGAGATTACAGTTAGAAATTAGAACTAGGTCAGTGATATTGACTTGATCGATTATGTACTTTATAGATATCTTTTGCATCTTTTTTGAAAAAAAAAAAAAAGAAATTCAAAACCACAGAATAGTTTTTGGCATTTTACTCTTATTTTATGATTCATGAGAATCTTATTTATTTTTATTTTTTCATTTAATTTATTTGGCAGAATTGAATTTTGGCTTAATCGAAATATTGCGATATCAAATTTACCTGATTATATTTTCTATTCTTTCGGAAATTTTTGTATTTATCCATAATACTCTTCAATTTGTCGTAAACAAGTTTTGGAGCATCAATTGCCCAGAGAAAATCTAAATGATTGAATTTTGGATAATTTATTTCAAATTTTCCCAATACCTTTGGCAATTGTTGATTCAGTCTTTGTACATCCTAAAAAAAAAAATATTTATTTATTTATTCTAAGTAAATAATAAATTTTTTAATTTTTTTAGAAAGTTATTTATTACCGTTTTACTCGCAAGCCAATCATTATCAGCGTAGAAAATAACTACAGGAATTTGAATTTTTGATAAATCATATTCCGGAGGTTTGGTATTATTATAAATTTCCCTATTTCTCGATTCGTAATCATATTGTTGAAATTTGCCGGAATTTATTTCTTGAGCGTAATGAATTAATGTTTTCGTTGATGTTCCCGCTGGAGTGTGACCCAAAATTACTGGTAGTAGAGTCTGAGAAAAAAAATTAATTTTCTTTTTTTAATTTAAATCATCATTGATAAAATAATTTTTTTTTTTTTTCAAACCCAATTATTATAGAAGAAACTTACAATATTAAATTGACTTTCATCAAAGCCAGAGAATGCAAATAAAGAATTTGTACAAATTTTCTCTTCCAGTGTGTCAATTTCGCAGCCAAATTTAGCGAGAAATTTCAAAATTCCATTTTGTGGAAGAAATTCGTCGGCACCAAAAAAGTGAGCTATCAACTGCAAATTTAATTTTAAAAAAAATTAATTTATTTTAATTTACAAAAAATTTAAAAACATTTTTTTAAATACGTATAAAATTCATTTTTAATAAATACTCTTTTTTAAAAGTATTACAGGCCTCGGATTATGTAACTTTTTCGACTATTTACAAAAATTTCAATTCAAAATCAAGTAAAATTCAATTATTACCCAAAAATTTCAATTCAAAATCAATTAAAATTCAATTATTTTCAAATTTTCAATTTAAAATCAAATAAAATTTAATTATTATCAAATATTTCAATCCAAAATCAATTAAAATTTAATTATTATCCAAAACTTCAATTTAAAATTAATTCTTATCAAAAAATTTTCAATCAAAAATCATCTAAAATTTAATAATTATCTAAAATTTCAATTGAAATTCAATTATTTTCCAAAATTTCAATTCAAAATCAAAGAAAATTTGATTATATTCAAAATTTTTAATTCAAAATCTTTTAAAATTCAATTTTTTTTTCAAATTTTCAATTTAAAAACAAATAAAATTCAATTATTATCCAAAAGTTTAAGTCAAAATATTCAATCAAAAATCAACTAAAATTAAATAATTATTCAAAATCAAAGAATTTTTAATTATTTTCAAAATTTTTAATTCAAAATCTTTTAAAATTCAATTTTTTTTCAAATTTTCAATTTAAAATCTAATAAAATTCAATTATTACAAAAAATTTCAATCCAAAATCAATTAAAATTTAATTATTATCAAAAATTTCAATTTAAAATTAATTCTTATAAAAAAATTTTCAATCAAAAATCAATTAAAATTAAATAATTATCTAAAATTTTAATTGAAATTCAATTATTTTCCAAAATTTCAATTCAAAATCAAGTAAAATTCAATTATTACCCAAAAATTTCAATTCAAAATCAATTAAAATTCAATTTTTTTTTTCAAATTTTCAAATTAAAATCAAATAAAATTCAATTATTACCCAAAATTTTAATTCAAATTTTTCAATCAGAAATCAACTAAAATTGAATTATTATCCAAAATTTCAATTAAAATTAAATTATTTTCAAAATTTTGAATTTAAAAGCTTCCAAAAATTTAATTATTTCCAAAATTTTCCATGGAAAATTTTTTGTAATTTAATAATTTCAATTATAACTCTAAGGAAATTCAATTAGTTTTAACTATTTTTATAATATTCTTTGAAAATTCAACTATCTGAAACCATTTTGCACTTAAAAATGGTTTTCAAATTATTTTATTTTTGTCTGCAATTTCTAATAAATTTTTTAGTTAAATCATCAAAAAAATTTAATTAAAAATCACTTATAGTTCAATTAATTTCAAAAATTTCAATTGTAAATCTTTGAAAATTCAATTACATTTAAAAAATATTATTTAAAATTATTTAATAAATTATTTTTAGTTCTGTAAAATTTAATTATTGTCTGAAAATTAACAAAATCTTTTGAAATTCAATTATTTCTAAAAATTTCAACTTTAACGCTTCCAAAAGTATTATTATTTTTAAAAAAATTTATTTAAAAATCTATAAAATATTTTTGTTAAAATAAAAAAAATCTACTTTTTCGACTTTTTTTTTTAATGTAAATCGACTAAAATGACTTTTTTTTGTGCCTTTAAGCCGATCCAAGGCCTGGTATTATTATTATTATAAAAAAATACCTTAATATTATTGGCAAATGGTGCGAAAATTCTAATTGGACTTTTTAAATGATTCATAAAAGCGACTGGAGCGAGGCTAAACATAATACGAATTTTTGAAGCCATTTCAGGTTTTTCACTTGACATCACGTAAAATGTAGTGGTACCCATCGAATGACCAATGTAAATTAAACTATCTTTTTTATAATCCGTTACATAATTAATCATTGCTGGCAAATCTCTCATTCCCATTTCGTGAAAACTGAAATTTCAGTGAAAAAAAAAAAAATTAATTAATAATTCAATAATATTGAAAAGTTGACTTTTTTTTCTACTTACAATAATTAAATTAAATTCTATCTCAAATTTTTGTATTCTATCTAATTGAAATTATTTTTTTATATTATTTTGTAAGTTTTTAAAAAAAATGTTGATTGTTTATAAGTGAAAAAAAAAGAAATTTTTTTTTATCACCTGAAATTCCAAAATCTTGAATCTGATGTTGGAATTGAAGTATGCGATCTAGAATAAGTGTTTCCACGAAAATTTCCCAACCAAATATCATATCCTAGATCAGCGAGAATAAATGCTAGAAAACAATTTTTTTTTTAATATAAATATAAAAAAAGTAAAATATAAAAAAATAAAAATTAAAGAAAATTATTTTTAAAAAAAATATTTGCATCATTTTACCCAAAGATTTGCCTTTTCCAGTGACAACCCAATCAGCGGAACTTCCAAGAAGTCCATGCTGAAGAAATACAGGAGTTGAACCCACAGGAGCTGGAATTCTGTGAATTGTTAATAAATATCCATCTTCTGTAATAACAACATGTGCCTCAGCTGGATATCCTGCTTTTTTTATTAATTCAGCCTTAAAATGAAAAAAAAATAATTATTACATTTAAAATTGTTAACAAAAAAAATTTTATTTAATATTTATAATTATAAGAAAATTAAAAAAAAATTCCAAAAAAACTTACTGTATTTAAATCGGCGTCATTATTGTCACTTTTAAGGAAAAAATCCAAGGATCCTTCACAGTAATCGCCAATTAAGAATAAAATAAATACAGTGACATATTTTATTTGTTTCATTTCTAAAAAGGAAGAAAGATAAATTTTAATTTTTTTCAACTCTATTAATAAAAAAAAGTAGATTAAATTAATTATTAATTAAATAATTCTAATATTAGAGAAATAATAAAAAAAAAAAAAGAACAATGAAAGTCACAAATAATATAATTTAATTACTATTTCAAATTATTAATGTCTATAATATCCAAACGAGTAAAATGTAGTAAATGAAAATATTGCGAATAACTGAGAATTATGATTCATTACTTATATTTTTATCTTTTGGTGCAGTTTTAAAATAAAAAGACGTTGTTTTTAGACCTTTGGCATCTGACGAATCATTTCTTATTCAAATATATTTATAAATAAAAAAAAAAAAAATGGAAAGAAATTTATAATAACTATTATCAATATTAATGTATTATTCTGATTTTTAGTAAATAAAAAATTAATACATCAAATATAAAATATTTGTCACAAATAAATAAATAATATGATTCCCGAGGGCAATTTTATAAAATTTATAACCTATTAATTATGGAACAACAATGGCATGTCACTTATGTTTCTAAATTATTTTTTCTAACCACCACAATTACGAATTCAAATTAATTATTAATATTCAATAGAATTAAATCAATAATTATTAATTAAGGTTTATTAAAAATTTATCATAATACTGCATATTTACCGAGAAACAATTGAAAATGTCAAGAAACCGGAATCAGCTGTTACACATGCGCTTTATATATTCACACCAGTGCGCATGAGCGCGTCTTATGTTTATGGCATTTTCCAAACGTTTAAAAAAAAAATAAAAAAAGAAAATACTGTGATTAAAACGTGAATTTTGTATTTTTCACAAGTTCCATTAATCAATGTAAGTAAATAAATTCTTATCTTAAATAATGCCATTAATTTTTCAAATGGATATTAATTAAATAAAGTATTTGAAAAAATTTTTCCTAACCTCAAATTGGCATGCCGGGTTCATAAAATTTTAATTAATTATATTTTATTAAAAAAACAAAAAAAAAACTAATTTGTAATACAATTTTTATTCACTTTAGAAAATAATTAATTAACTTTCCTTTAAGTTATAAAAATATATAGTAGATTTTGTGCTCTAATTAAAAATGTTTAAAAATTGCATACGTTTGAAAAAAAAGTTATATATATATGTATATATTAATTTCACAACTATTTTAAAACGCTAGCAATTTTAAAATTATTTCGAATTTTATTGTAATAAAATTTTAATATACTGTATGTCTCTCAGTAATGTGAGGAAAAAATTTAAAAATTTTTTAATTCGTTTGATTTAACTCCAATATTATTTTGATATTTTTAAATTAAGAAATTTGGGATTATTTTATTAGTATAGGAAAAATTGTACAAGAAAATTAAAAAAAAAAAAATAATAATATGAAATTGATTTTAGAAAAATGAATGAAGTAACACTACCTCCTTCGCCAAATTGGTACCTGAATAATGTAATGTCTTGCTCAAAAAATGGAACAATTGCTTGGGGTTCCAGACATACAATTGTCATTGGTCATCAAAAAGAGAATAGTAAAATACTCGAATATTCAATTATTTTAAATGCTCATTCAGAGCGTGTGACTTCATTATGTTTATCACCTGAATTCGAAGAAAATGCTGAGAAACGTCTTTTAGTTTCGGCAGGAGATGATCATATCGTTAAAATTTGGAAAGTTGACAATCTCACATCAACTTTGACAAATTCTATTTTAGACGTAAGTTTAATTATTTATTTTTTTTTTTTTTAAATAAAATAAGAATTTTTTTTTTTATCGGGACGCATGAATAAGATCTAAAACAAATTTGTTAGAAGTTATATTTCATAGAATTTTTATTAAGCAGAATATTAATTTGCCAGAAAGTCAATTTAATTGAATTTTAATTTGTCAGAAAATCAATTTGATCGAATTTTAATTTGACATAAATTCAATTTGATCGAATTTTAATTTGTCAGAAATTAAATTTCACCAAATTTAAATTTTCACGAAATGTTGTTTTATAGAATATTAATAGGGCAGAAAAATAATTTGATAAATATCTATTTTAACAAAATGTATATTTGTTCGAATTATAATTTCCCAGAAAGTTAATTTGATCGAAAATTAATTTGTCAGAATTCCAATTTGATCGAATTTTAATTTGTCAGAAAGTCAATTTCATTGAATTTTAATTTGGCAGAAAAATAATTTGATCGAAATTTAATTTGTGCGAATAAACGTTTTTTCATAGAATTTTAATTTAGCAGAAAGATAATTTAATAGAATTCGAATATAGCAGAATTAAAATTTGACAGAAATTTACCTTACCAGAAAGTATATTTGTTCGAACATTAATTTGCCAGAAATTCAATTTCACCGAAAATCAATTTGACCGAAATATTTCATCGCGAATTTTAAAATTAACCAATAGGAAATTATGAAGAAAATTGTGATTGGTTAATTTTAAAATTCGCGCCGAAATATTTCGGTCAAATTTATTTTCGGTGAAATTGAGTTTCTGGCAAATTAATGTTCGAACAAATATACTTTCTGGTAAGGTAAATTTCCGTCAAATTTTAATTCTGCTATATTCGAATTCTATTAAATTACCTTTCTGCTAAATTAAAATTCTATGAAAAAACGTTTATTCGCACAAATTAAATTTCGATCAAATTGTTTTTCTACCAAATTAAAATTCGATCAAATTGGAATTCTAACAAATTAATTTTCGGTCAAATTAACTTTCTGGGAAATTATAATTCGAACAAATATACATTCTTGTAAAGTAGATTACTGACAAATTGTTTTTCTGCACTATTAATATTCTATAAAACAACGTTTCGTGAAAATTTAAATTCGGTCAAATTTAATTTCTGGCATGAAGCTGAAACTGGCATCTAGTTATTAGCATCCATTTAATTATTGAAATTTTCAAGTTGATATTGAAACAAAAGAATACAATTTGTCAAAAATCTCAAATATCAAAAGAAAAGTATATAATTCAATGGTTATTCATTAGAAAACAAATGAATACGACGAAAAAATATCAAAAATAAATTTAAACATTTTTTAAAAATAAATAATGAAAATAATAACGACAACATTAAAATTTACAATTACAAATGATTCTATTATTATTTATTAATGAATGCATTTAAAAAGGGGGAGAATATTATTATTTTTTTTTAAAGCAAGTAGAAGTTAAAGAAAATTAATTTAATTTTAAAAAGATTTTCCATTCAAATTCTACGAAAAATTATTAATTACAAATATTTTTCGTTGAAGATTCGGAAAAAAAAAATTTCAATTTCTCCCTTAAATAAAATTTAACATTTGTAATATTTTTTTCAACTTCTTTGGGTCTCAAAAAGACTGAAAAAATTATTGCAAGTGTTAAATTTTATTCAAAGGAGAAAGTGGAATTTTTTTTCCGAATTATGGAAGAAAAATCTCTGTAATTTCGTCCAGAGTTCGAGTCCCGCAGTCGCAATTTTTTTTTAGCTTCCTTTGGTCTCCAATAGACTAAAAAAATATTGGAAATCGTTAAATTTTATTCAAGGGAGAAATTGAAATTTTTTTTTCCGAATTATTAAAGAAAAATCTTTGTTACTTCGTTTGGAATCTAAGTCTTGCGGTCGCAAGTTTTTTTTAACTTCCTTTAGTTCCCATAAGACTGAAAAAAAATTGGAAACTGTTAAATTTTATTTTGGAGAAATTAATTTTCTTTAACTTCTACTTGCTTTAAAAAAAAATAATAATATTCTCCCCCTTTTTAAATGCATTCATTAATAAATAATAATAGAATCATTTGTAATTGTAAATTTTAATGTTGTCGTTATTATTTTCATTATTTATTTTAAAAAATATTTAAATTTATTTTTGATATTTTTTCGTCGTATTCATTTGTTTTCTAACGAATAACCTTTGAATTATATACTTTTCTTTTGATGTTTGAGATTTTTAACAAATGGTATTCTTTTATTTCAATACCAACTTGAAAATTTTAATAATTAAATGGATGCTAATAACTAGGTGCCAGCTTCATATTTCTGGCAAATTAAAATTCGATCAAATTGATTCTCTGACAAATTAAAATTCAATTAAATTGACTTTCTTCTGGCAAATTAATATTCTGCTTAATAAAAATTCTATGAAATATAACTTCTAACAAATTTGTTTTAGAGCTTATTCATGCGTTTCATTTTTTGTCGAACAAAAATAAATATTGTCATTTTATTTAAAAGGCGAAACAAAAAGTAATTGGCGTTGATTGGTCGAAGAATGATCCAAATTTAATTTGTTACGTGAGTTCGGAAGGTTTTCTTGTTAATTGGAATATTGCCTTTGATACAAATCAAATAATACCAATGGGAAAATTAACACCAACTTGTATAGCATGTTGTCCTCATGATCAAAATCTCGTGGCTTTAGGCTCAAAAAAAGGAACAGTTTTAATAGTTAATATTCAAGGATCAGGATCTATAATTTATAATTTAAGAGGTCATGATGTTGAAGTTGTGAGTTTATCCTGGTGTCCTGTTAGTTCCAATGTTTTCATTGAAAATGGAGCAAGAGATTTGCTTCTTGCTTCCGGTGGAAAAGACAGGTTTTTACAAAAATAATTTAATTAATTAATTAAAAAAAAATGTAAAATTACTTTTTTTTTGCACAAAATTTAATGAAAATAAAAGAAATTGTTTTTTTTTTTTTTTTTAAAGATCCATATTTTTTTGGCGTGCTGGAGGTGATGGAAGATATCAATGTCAAATAATGCTACCACCAAATCCAATGGATTCACAAAAACATCGTTCAAAACTTGGCGCTGGTTCATTTAATTGGACTGCACTTTGTTGGGTGGAAGCAAAATTAATTTTAATAAGTTCTGCATTTGGTGAATTAATATCTTGGGATTTGACAAAATTAAGTGGCAAAAATAAACCCATTTATCAATCAATTCATTCGTGTCATAATCGTGGATTATTTTGTATCGCGACACACATTCAAATTGAGGATAAAGATTGTCAACAAAATTGGAGGGAAAAAAACTCGTTAGTATTGTTATTTTTTTTTTCTTTTCTTTTCTTAAATTTAGATTATATAAATAGTTTTTTTTTTAATTTTTTAAATGTAAAACAAAAAATTTACAGAAGGAGAATATGGACATTGGGCCAAGATCGTCAGGTGATTTGTTGTGATTTATTAGAAGACAAATCGACAATTGAATATCGAATTCCCACACAGGGAGGATATGTTTATTGTCTTGCTGCTTGTCCTCTTGATACAACACAAATTGCATTTGGCTCTGGTGATGCAATGTTGCGAATTTGGAATTTATCCGAACCACATGAGTCTTATTTTGAAATTTCAACACTTTGGCAGAAAATAATGGGAAAAGTCAGAGCCGTAAGTTAATGAATTTCATATTTTTCTTTTTTTTTTTTAAGTTCCATTTTTGAAATTTTAGCACAGTTTTAATTATATAATAATAAAATGCTTGGTCTGTCCTTCTGTTCTAACTTGAAGTTGGCCTTTTCTGATTTCACGTGTTTTTTTGAATAGTAATCTTATGACATGTCAAATTTTGACAATTCTTTTTCTCATTTTTCCCAAAATTGTATAATTGTGTTTCCAAATTTCGCAATAAATTTCTTTAAATTTCCAAATTCGAAAATTCAATTCACGAAGCTGAAGTACACAACGTTTACCAACGAAATTTTTTTTAAACTTGTATATTGATTCAAAAATTGTATACAAATACAAAAAATTTATGATGAGAAAAAAGATGCGCCAGGAAATTTCGTACAAGATAGTAATTTGAAAAAAATTTATTTTTAAAAATTAATTTTTAAGGTACCAGGGGCCAACGAATACCTATTAAATATTAATTATAAAAACACAGACCTCGAATCAACTTAAAGACACAAAAAAAAGTCGTTTTAGTCGATTTATATTCAAAAAAAAAGTGGATTTGTTTTTTATTTTAACAAAAATATTTTACAGATTTTTAAATAAAATTTTTTTTTTTAATAATAATCCTTTTCGAAGGGTTAAAGATGAAATTTTTAGAAATAATTAAATTTCAAAAGATATTGTTAATTTTCAATTATTAAATTTTACAGAACTAAAAATAATTTATCAAACAATTTTTGGAAAACATTTTTTTAATTTAATTGAATTTTCAAAGATTTAAAATTGAGATTTTTGAAATTAATTGAAACTTTAAGTGTTTTGTAATTAAAATTTTAGATGATTTCACTAAAAATTTATTAGAAAATGCGGACAAAATACAATAATTTGAAAATCATTTTTAATTGAAAAATGGTTTCAGATAGTTTGAAATTTCAAAGAATATTATTAAAATAGTTAAAAATAATTGAATTTCCTTAGAGTTATAATTGAAATTATTAAATTTCAAAAAAAAATTTTTCGATGGAAAATTTTAGAAATAATTAAATTTTAGATGCTTTTAAATTCAAATTATTGAAAATTCAATTAATTTTGAATTCAAATTTTTGAGAATAATGAAATTTTATTTGATTTTAAATTTAGAAAATAATTGAATTTCAGTTCATTTTGAATTGAAAATTTTGGGAAATAATTAAATTTTAATTGAAATTTTGGATAATAATTTAATTTAAGTTCATTTTTAATTTAAAATTTAAATAATTAATTTTGAATAGAAATTTTAGAAAATAATTGAATTTTTTTTAATTTTAAATTGAAAACTTGGTAAATAAATAAATTTTAAATTGAAAATTTTTGATAATTATTGGATTTTTAATTGACTTTGAATTAAAATTTCGGATAATAATTGAATTTTAGTTTATTTTGAATTGAAATTTAAAAAAAAATAATTCAATTTTATTGTGATATTTTTTTTTAAATTATAAACAATTGTTAAATTTCATAAAAATTTTAATTGAAAAATAATTTTGATATATAATTGAATTTGTGATGTATTTCATTAAAATTATTAAAAATAATTAATTTAGTGAAGAATCATTTTAGTTCAAAATTTGTTAAATAATTGAATTGAAGAAGATCTGAAGAAGATCTACATTTTATACTAAAAAAAAAATGTATTTTATTTACATTTTTTTTCAAATGTAAAAAAAAAATGTCGCATTTTATTAAAAGAAGTCGATAAAAGTCGTATTTTTGAAAAAAGTCGGAAAAAGTCGTATAATCCGAGGCCTGTAAACATATAATTTTCATTATTTTCATTTAATATGTAATAATATTCTAATAAATTAAATTATTATTGATAATATTAATCTTTAATTTCTTTATAACAAACAATCAAATACTCAATTTGGCGCGCGTTTAATTTTGCTAGTAGTTTATAATTTCTTTTTATTTAATATTTCAGCTATCATGGCATCCGGAGAAGGAAAATCTTCTTGCTTTTGGAACTGGAGAAGGACGCATTGGAATTTACGACACAAATGCAACAAAACCACCTCTTTTATATAGACAATATCATAGAAATTGTATTTATTCCCTTCATTGGGGACCAGCTCCAGATGTTCAATTATATGCATTATATTCATGCGGTGATGGCGAATTAGTTTTTTATAATCCTGAAAATCCAGATAAGGGTAATTTTTATGATATTTTTATTATAAATAGTATTTTAATTGTGATTTGTTGATAAATAATATATATATATTTTTTTTAGATCCAAAATCGGTGATAAAAAAAGATTGCACTGAATTCGCATGGAAACCAAATTATTCATGTATGGCTGTTGGTTTTGAGCATGGAAAAATTTCCTTCTTTGATCGAAATTTAAAAGAATTGGATAATTGTATTTATAATCCTTTAAGAACAGCTGTTCATTGTTTAGTTTGGCATCCAGAAAGTACAGAAACCGATTTATTAATGTCACCATTACAAAATTATTTAGCTGTTGCTTTTAATAGTTCAGTGATAACTATTTTTGATATTTGCGATTTGAATGTAAATACAGAGGAAAAGGAAAATAAAGAAGAGGCAACGACGACGGAATCGACAGCTTTTTATAAAACAGTCGCTACTTTATCGGGACATACGGAAAAAGTTGTTTCTCTCGTTTGGAGTCCACATCAAAGTGGATTTTTAGCTTCTGGAAGTTATGATAATACAGTTCAGGTATTTTTTTTTTTTACATTAAAAAAAAGGACAGCTTTGCCTGTTTTTTTTTTTAATTTGTTATATTTAATATTCTAGATTTGGAAAGTGGAGACACAAGAAATAATTGGTACATTCACAGGACATTTGGGTCCAGTTTTCTCATGTATGTGGAGTCCACTTGATCCAGATTATTTAATATCAGGTTCAGCTGATTTTACTGTACAAATATGGAAAATTTCCGAACAAGAAGCAATTATGCCCACGGAAAAGCCAACATCAAGAAAAATAAAAACAAAAAAGAAGAAAAATCATATTGACAAATCATCTTCAATTGTAAAGAATAATGAAAATGAAGATGAAATTTCAAAAATGAAATCAAGTGAATCACAAAATTCAATAAATGCTGAGAAGAAGAATAATAATTCAAAGAAAGATTCCAAAAAACGAGCATATTTTCCAATTTATAGTAAACGTTTAAATAGTAAAACAGCTATTTTAGCTTCAATAAGAACACTTTTAAAAAGTATTAAAGGAGAAAATGAATCGGAAGATGAGTGTAAAAAACAAGAAGCTGATGATAATAAAAATGGTGAAAATAGTGAAGATGTTGGAGATGGTAAAAATGAAGAAAATAAGGAGAGAAAGGAAAAAGTAGAAGAAAAATTAGAGACAAATGAAAATAACGATACGATGGAATCTAATGAAAATGATAAAACATTAGAAACAAATGAGACAAATGTCCCTTCTATTTTTGCTGGAAAGGAACAAATTTTAGATATTATCAAAGAAGAAAGTAAGATAATTGTTTTATTCTTTTCAATGAAATGTTTAATTTAAAAAAATTTTCGTCTGTATTAATTTAAATAATTTTAAATTAAATTTTTTTTCTCTTAATTTTGATCATTTTATTAATTTTTTTTTTTTTTTTTTTTTTTTATTTGTAAAATCAATATTTTTTTGTTTATATGCAATTTTTCTATCTAGAATATTAAATAAGATTAAATTTTAAAAAAAGTTGTTAATAAATAAAATTAATTTCTTTTTACAGAACCATATTTGAATTCTCGTGGTCAATATAATGCAGTATTAGAATTGGACGTTTGGTGTAATAAATTGATGGAAACTTTGAAAGATGCTGTTAAAGAAAAAAGATTAACCGATTATCTTGTCTCGCTTGCTCCATCGTTGTCAATGAAGTAAGTTTTGAATTTTCAAAATTTTAATATCACAAAAAATAAGAAAATATAGTTAATTTTTTTTCAACAACTTATTAATTCAATATAAAATTAATTAGAAATTTAATTAGGATTTAGTGAATAATTAATTTAAATTTATTTTTTTTTTTTTTGAGAACTTGGCAGGAAATGTGCGAAGCTTACGCAATGCAATTGATAACCGATGGTCATATTAATAAAGCCGTTTGTTATTTATTGAAAATACATCGAATTCATCAGGCGGTTGGAGCATTTTTTAATGCGAAAATGTATAAAGAAGCTTATGCACTTGCCACATTGAAATTAGATCCTCAAGATCCGCTGGTTGAGAATATTTTACGAGATTGGGCCATAACCGCTACAAGAGAGGGAGGTTTCGAAGACGCTGTTCAATGGTAATTTCAAAAAGAAATTTCTAAATATTATTTAAATAAAAACAAATTTAAATTTTTATTATTTTTATAAAATATTTATTTATTGTCAATAATAAAAATTATTGAAATGGGTAAATTAATTTTTTTTAATTTTTCTTTGTTTCAGTTACGTGAAGTTAAAAGATTTCAAAAAAGCCGCACAATTATTGTCGCGACGTAAAGAAATTCCTTTTTTGAATTTAGCCGCCGAATTGGCTGAAATGGGCAATGATTTTCAATTAAGTGATTCACTTGCAGAACAAGCGGTGAATGAATCTCTTTTAATTGCCGATTTTGAAACAGCAAATGCAATAACGAAAAAATATTCACGAATTTATCATCGTCAAATTCATGTGAATACACTTAAAGTTATAAAAATAGCTCTTGAAAATACAAGTTCAAAAACAATTTGCGATTGGATTGAAGGAAAATCGAAAATTTGTGGAATATTGGAAAATTTAAATAAAAATTTCTCTAAAAATACAGAATTATATATTGAACTTGGAAAATCAATTTTTAATGCACCTCCAAAATGTGAGGCCGAGGTATTTATAATTCCTTTTTTTTTGTACGACTAAACAAAATATTTTTATTTTAAATTATAATAATAGTTTCAATATATTTATTAATTTCTAATTTTAGTTGTGGATAAATGTCAGTCATCAAATATCATTGGCAATTGTTGGAGAAAATGAAAATCAACTTTTAAAACATATTTTAATTGCTCTGCAAATGATTTGTTCTTATGAAAAAACACAATATCATCGTGATGAAACCACAGAGAGTTTATTATTGAAATTCTTGTCAATTTTAGAATGTAAAGATCCATCAAATGAAAATAGTTTATTTTCAAAAAAAACTGAAAGAACGAAAGCTCTACGTGCTTATTTATGTTATGGTTTTTTAAATTGGTTTACGGAAGAAAATTTAAGAAAAGAAGATTCAGAAAAAAATTATGAAATTATAATCAATACAATTGAAAAATATATTAAGGACGTTTTAGATAAAGAAGCTGTTAAACATTGGACGGAAGTTAATGAAATTGTTAAACTCGAGGCTTCACTTGCTCTCAATATAGGTAATTATCTTTTTTTTTTTTAAATTAAAAAAACAAATTTCATTTAACTTTGATTTCTAAATAAATAAAATTTAGAAAAGTGATAGTCAATAACGGAAAAAAATAAATGTTTTTCTGTTTAGGAAAAACTCAAACTCCAGAGGACGAAAAATTGGAACCTGCATTGAGTGTTGAACGATTGGATCGTTTAAGATTTGAGGGTAAACAATTTTTAGAAAATCGAGTTTCAACTCCAAATCCAATGGACGCCTATGTAGCATCATTTGATTTTATTAATCAAATTTCAAATGAAAATGTGAAAATTGCCATTAAAAAATTAATAGACAATGCTTGGCAAGAGGCTGCCGTTTAATTTATGTTTTTTTTCTTCTTCTTTTTTTTGTAAATACGTTTAATAATGAATTTTAAAATCATCATTTCTTTTTACAACTTTAAATGATTAAAAAAAAAAAAATATTGGCATGAAAAACGTAAATATCAAATAAATTGTTTTTTTTTTTAAATTTAAAAGACAAAATTGATTTTTATTTTTAATATAAAAAAATAATTATTGTGGAAATTAATAATACACAAATTTATTTAGCAATATTTTATTTTACCTTAAAAATAAATCAAGCATTTATTTTTTCTGTTCTTTGCTTGGTTTCGCTTGACGCTTTAACCTGAAGAATGCGGATGTTCTTAATTTGTTGCGAATTTGTTTTGCCTTTCGCAATTTGAAACGATCAAAATCGCTCAATGCGGCTCTCTATAAAAAAAAAGAAAGAAAGAAAGGAAGAACATTAATTTTAAAAACGTAAATTAAAAAAAAAAAATTTTCAATATTTTAAAATCTTATAATTGGAAGATTGATAAAAGAAATACCTTTTTCTTTGCCTCGACTTTTTTAGCCCACATTGTAGCAGCCCATTTTTCACCGACTTTAGCATCGGTCCATGCTTTTCTTACAACTCGTGTGCTACCTGTACGAGGCATTTTTAATTTCAATTTAGTCAAATGAAGGTCCGAAAGTCTCATTTGAGTTCTTCCTATTTTGTACATTGGTCCATCGATTAAAACCTAAATTTCAAATAAAAATTGTCAATAATTTTCTAATAATTAGTGATTAAATTAAAAAGAAAAAAATATAATAATAATAATAGTTACTCTGTTTTGATCGATGACATCGACAATAGCAACCAATTTTCCTTTCTCAGGTCCATTGTTGACATAGGCAATTCTGCCTGTTTCCACAAATCTTTGAAATCCCTTCTACAAAAACAAGAAATTAAATTTTTCACTATTTTTTTTTATTTCCTATTAACTGGCCGTCTTTATTATTCCTTCATTTTCCAAATTGAAAATAAATTTACTAACATAAAACAATTTCAAAATTTCCATTTAAAATTAAGAAAAAGTCATTATTTAATAAATTCAACTTTTGACGCTTGCAAAAAAAAAAAAACTAACCTCAAAATATATAAACATTATATACATATCGCCTAAATCACATATTTACTTAAGACATGTTAAAAATATTTTTAAAAAAAATTTCTAACTTTTATAAATATATTTTTATTTATAAAATCATTTATTTTCAAATACAAAACTATAATTATTTTTCTAATTTAATAACCACATGGCATTCCAATGTGCATTGGTACAATATTGTTTTTCAATGAAATGTAAAAAAAATTTACTCATAAAATGTTTATTATAAAATATAATAATCGAAAAGAATTAGTAAAATTTAATTAACTTACCATTTTGTTGAAAAAACTGGATAAAATATCCAAATTTTAATAAAAAATAACACTCCTTTTTGGAGGACAATACGAAAAGAGAACGCAAGAGCAGGAAAAGGAAGTTACAATATTTGAACACCAGGCGGCATTATTGTTACATTATTGAATACCGCTAAAATTTAAATTGTTTACACAATTTTGATATAATAATAAATATCGATAAATAAAATTTGATAATACCTTAATATAATAATAAAAATAATTGTATATAAATATTCATAATCATTTTGCATAATTATTTTTTTGCTAAATAAAACAACATTTAGGCTCTATTCACATTGTATGTAGATGGCGCACACATGCAAATTCCGTTTTATCCTCAGTTGGTAAACCTGAATTTTTGAATTTCAGATAAATTTTTCTTATTTAATAAATTAATTATTAAAAATTTGATAAATTTTTCTAAAATAATTTTATTACCATTTGATAATACTATTACTGTTTCACTTATTATAAATTATCAAGTAACAAAAGTGAAGTTAGCTATTGAATAAACGATTAACTGTCAATTTTCATTCATTTCCGTTTCCGGCTTCAAATGTGATACAGACTTTGCTTATTTCTTCATTTCAAATTTATTTTGATTTCATTCAATTATTGTTTAATTAAAAACGTGAATAATACACGTTAATCAATAGGTAAGTTAAATAATTTTTTTTTTTATAAAAAATAATTAGTTTTAATTTAAAAATTGATAAAAACAATTGCAATTAGTATACATAACCTTAAAATTTTGAAAAATATTTCAAAACTTATTAATTATTTTTGCAAAAGAAACATTATACATTTAAGTATTTTTATTACTTTATGTAATATTATTATTATTTTGATAATACTTAATAACTTTTTTTTTTTATAATTTTCCGATAAATTCCTATATTTATTTGGTTCGACCCAAAAGATTTACCTATTTATTAAATGAAAATAAACGTTTTTGTTCATATTATTATTATTTTATTGTTTAATAATAAAAAAAAAATGTTAATTTAAAAATTATTTTATACATAGTATAAATTTAAAAAATGTTATTTTCTTTTAGAAAATTAAAAAGAAAATTAATTACAAGAATTAGTTAATTAAATTGATATATTTTAATTTTATTAATTAATTTGTTTTAGGTTTTTTTAAACTTAAAATATTAGAAAATTGAAGTTTAAAATTTCCATTAAAAACAATAACAATGTCACTAAACGATGACTATCAATTGTCACCTATATTATTTGAGAACAACAATAATATACAATCAGGTATTTAAATTTTTAATTTGATAATTTAAGGAAAATTTTTAACACTCTAATTTTGAATTAAATGACATTTTAAAATAGAAATTAAAATAATTACTAATTTTATTCTATTAAAAATAAATTTTAAATATTTTTACAAAATAGAAATTGAATTAAAAATTATTTTTTAAAAATTTGTAACAAAATAATTAATTAACAAAAAAATTGAATTCTTTTTTTTTCGAATAGATAAAGAATTGTCCTTTCCAAGTTCATCAATTTCGTCAGTTGGCGTTTTATCGAAAACAACAACGATTGATAGTTGTTCACTCAGTATATCGTCAAATAATCGAAAATACGCTGGAGCAACACCAAAAAAATTCATGACAAAAAATAGTTTAGAAATTTTACGTATTAAATCGAATAATAATGTTGTCTCACAAATTAATGAACATGACAATAATTCAATTGTCTCATCATTTAATGATCAAAGATTCGCTGGAATAACACCAAAAAAATTTGAAGCACAAAATAGTCTAGAATATTTAAGCAATAAATCCATTAACGATGAATCACAAATTAATGAAAATGAATCAAATGATGCAATAAATGTTTTAAAGAGTTTAATTGATGAGAATATTATTTCATTGCAAAAAGAACGTGTAAATAATGATAGTCAAGAGACAATTTTTTTTCAAGAAAACAACAACAACAAGAATACTAACGACGTTGAAAATAAAATTTGTGACGACAATATAAAAGAGAATAGTTGCAAAACAATTGATTCCTATCATCATGATTCGGATATTGATATGTTTGAAGATTTTAATTCACCTGAAATTAATTATACAATAACACATGAATCTAACAATGGAATAATACCATTAAATTTATCACGTCCATTATATTTAGCTAATTATTCCAATGAATTTGTTGAGGATAAATCTTGCTTTGCTCCAAAAGAAAATTTTATTGAAAATACAAATACTTTGAAAATGGAACTTTACGATGCTTCAATTGATGAAATTCTTTATGCAGTGGAAGAAGTTATTGAATTTTTAGAAATGTCCGATGAATAATTATTTAAATTATAATATTTGATTTCAGTTTTTTTTTTTCTATTTTATTATATTTAAGTCACGAGATTTTCCATATTAAAAAAAAAAGAAAGTGGAAATCAACGTTTTATGTAATTGAAGGAAATATTTATTTTTAAAGAAAAAAAAAAATTACTCTTATTTCTATTTGTTTTTTCCAAAAAATACTTTTGCAAATGGAAATCTCGTTTGAAAGACTGAAAATTTTTTTTTGTTTGTGCTCAAGAAAAAAAAAAAGAGAAAACATTGTGATATCTAGCTTAGAATTCTAGATATATTTGTAGAAATATACGATAATTTATATTTTTTTTTATTATTTGTTTCTATTATTTTTCTCTTGTATATCATCTCTTTATTCGTTTATATATATATATATATAAATTTTTTTTTTCGCAGTTCATTATTCAAAACTTTGTAAATTATTTTGTTTTGAAAGTTGTTATTTGAATTGTATAATTCGAAAAAAAGAATTAATAACTAAATTAAAAATAAATGCATTTATATTACTTTATCATCGTTTTTTCTTTGATCCAAAACCACTGAATCCCATAATTGCGGCCATTTCATCGGATGGTCCAGCGTCTTCATCATCGTCTTCTTCCATTCTTCGCTTTTTATCTTTCCTCTTTTCCTTTCTGTATTCCTTTACTTTCTCCTCCTTTAAAACAAATTTTTGTTTTTCTTTCGTTTAAAAATTATAATTGTTGGAAAAAAAATAATTTTTTTTTTTTAATTCTAATTTAAAAGTAAAAATTATTAATTTTCAGAATTCCAAGTAGATTATCTAATTTAAAAAAAAAAAATTTCATAAAACTATGCAGCTGAAACTGGCACCCAGTGATTAGCATCCATTTAATTATTGAAATTTTCAAGTTGGTATTGAAACAAAAGAATACCATTTGTCAAAAATCTCAAACATCAAAAGAAAAGTATATAATTCAAAGGTTATTCATTAGAAAACAAATGAATACGACGAAAAAATATCAAAAATAAATTTAAATTTAAAATAAATAATGAAAATAATAACGACAACATTAAAATTTACAATTACAAATGATTCTATTATTATTTATTAATGAATGCATTTAAAAAGGGGGAGAATATTATTTTTTTTATTATTTTTTTTTATTTTTTTTTTTTATTATTTTTTTTTTGAAGCAAATAGAAGTTAATGAAAATTAATTTAATTTTAAAAAGATTTTCCATTTAAATTCTACGAAAAATTATTAATTACAAATATTTTTCGTTGAAGATTCGGAAAAAAAATTCCAATTTCTCTCTTAAATATAATTTAACATTTGCAATATTTTTTTCAACTTCTTTGGGTCTCAAAAAGACTGAAAAAAATTATTGCAAGTGTTAAATTTTATTCAATGGAGAAATTGGAATTTTTTTTTCCGAATTATGGAAGAAAAATCTCTGTAATTTCGTCCAGAGTTCCGAGTCCCGCGGTCGCAATTTTTTTTTAGCTTCCTTGGGTCTCCAATAGACTAAAAAAAATATTGGAAATCGTTAAATTTTATTCCAGGGAGAAATTGAAATTTTTTTTCCGAATTATTAAAGAAAAATCTTTGTTATTTCGTTTGTAATCCAAGTCTTGCGGTCGCAAGTTTTTTTTAACTTCCTTTAGTCCTCAAAAGACTGAAAAAAAATTTGGGAACTGTTAAATTTTATTGTGGAGAAAAATTAAAAAATTTTCGTAGAATTTGAATGTAAATTTTTTTCAAAATTAAATTAATTTTCTTTAACTTCTATTTGCTTCAAAAAAAAAAAAAATAAATAAATAATAATATTCTCCCCCTTTTTAAATGCATTCATTAATAAATAATAATAGAATCATTTGTAATTGTAAATTTTAATGTTGTCGTTATTATTTTCATTATTTATTTTAAATTTAAATTTATTTTTGATATTTTTTCGTCGTATTCATTTGTTTTCTAATGAATAACCTTTGAATTATATACTTTTCTTTTGATGTTTGAGATTTTTGACAAATGGTATTCTTTTGTTTCAATACCAACTTGAAAATTTCAAAAATTAAATGGGTGCTAATAACAAAAGTCCAGCTTCAGCTTCATTAAAATTTACCTCTTCTTTTAGTTCTTTCACTCTTTGCTCAAGGTCATAATCTTTTTTTTTCTCCTCGAGTTTTTTTTTATTTACAGCAAACCTTGCTTTAACTTGTTCGAGTGTTGATCTCTCTATTTTCATTGACATTCCCAAATTTCTTTGATCTGAAAAGAAAATTTGCAAAAAAAAAAAAAAAAAAAAAAAACACCAACAATGTAATATTTTTTCAAAATAATTTTGCATGTAACTAAAATGTATATCTTCTAAAATAAAAATAATCCACAAATTTAATATAAGAAAAAAAAGTAAAAAAAAAAATTGAAATTCTTTGAAAAGGAATTAAAAATTTGTTTTAATACAATAAAAGAAAAAAAAAATTTTTTCAAACTCACGTTTTGTCCCATTGATGTGATCCAAAAAATTAATTGAATCTTTGACGACACAATCGCAAACATTACAATAATAACCGCCAGTTTGTGACGATGGTGTCGATTTATTGATAACGACACTTTTACCTAATTTCGATTCGAGATCAACTTTATAGTCACGTTGTTTTAATAGTTCACGTTTAACTGCCGGTTGTTTTGGAATTCCAAGATCGTCTTCCGCAATTTCCTCTTGTAAACGTTGTAATGCCATTCGTTCGTAATCCTCTCGATTCCATTTTCGACGATGATCATCGGGACGTTGCTGATAAAATACGCAAAAAAAAAAAAATAAATAAAAAAAAGAAATTTTAATTTAATACCATTTTTATTTTACAGAAATTTTATTTTTTAAGAATTCTTTTTTAATTGATATTTTAAGAGAATTTTTTTTTTTTTTTTTTTTTTTAATCAAAATTGTAAATATTATTTATATTTAACTCTTTTTAATTAAACTCAGCGTAATAATTATTCAATTGTATTATTATTTATTTAATTAATAAATTTAATTTAATTTCTCATATCATTAAACAATAAATTTATAAAAAAAAATTCCAAAAGTTGTAATACTTTTTGAGGTTAGGATTATTTAGATATTTATTTTCTTTCATTTAAAATTAACTTTAAATTTTACAATAAATAATTGTATTTTATTATTTTTAGTATACTTACCGACATTTTTGATGTTTTTTTTTTTTATTTTCAAATTATATTGATATTTTTAATAATCGTAAATAAACAAAACGTCCAACAAATGTCAAAAAAAAAACACTCACACTGAGACATACGTCACACACACACACACACACACATGATTCGCCACCTAGCAGCCATTTAAAAAAGCTTTGGATTGTTTACGAAGTATTGTTTATTTACCAATAAATATTAATTAAAAAAAGTGTCAACTATAATACTTAGTAAATATATCTAATTAATTCAAAAATAATAATTTGACATTAGTATATAATTTTCAATAGTTTAATAATATTGAATGAAATATCACGTGATTTTGTTGGCGTAAATGTTGCGTCTATAGTATATTTATTTCACTCTATGGGGATATATGTCATTTGCAATAAATTTTATCTTAAACGTGAACAAATTTAATTTTATACCCCTATTATTTCGACAAAAATTAAATGTAAGTAAATTATTGATTAATTTTTATTTCTAAATCTTTCATTCGCCTATTTTACATATTGCTTTTTAAGGTTATGTTTTTTATATCCGCGGCAATAGAGTAATAATTAATTTGATTTTACACAAACTTTGATAAATTCGGTAAATCTAAACAATCTCTAATAGGTATTATTTTTTTAAAAAAATAGTGTAATGTATTATTTTTTTTGTATCATATATAATCGAAATTTTATTATTTTTCTCTACAATGAATTTTATTTTCGTTAATTGTTTATAAATAATTAATACTCATTATATTATTTTATTATTCTACCTTTTTTAATCATTTCACTAGCAATAATAAACGCGCGCAAGCGCGCCAAATTGAGTATTTAATTGTTTGTTATAAAGAAATTAAAGATTAATATTATCAATAATAATTTAAATTTATTAGAATATTATTTCATATTAAATGATAATAATGAAAATTATTATTATATGTTATTAAATTATATATAAAATTGAATTATTTTCCAAATTTTCAATTTAAAATTCAATTATTTACCAAGTTTTCAATTTAAAATTAAATAAAATTCAAATATTACCCGAAATTTTAATTCAACATCAACATAAATTAAATTATTATTCAAAATTTCAATTAAAATTCAATTATTTCCCAAAATTTCAATTCAAAATTAATTATTATCAAAATTTTCAATCAGCAATCAAATAAAATTAATTATTTTCAAATTTTCAATCAACAATCAACTTAAATTAAATTATTATCGAAAATTTCAATTAAAATTCAATTATTACCCGAAATTTTAATCCAAAATCAACTTAAATTAAATTATTATTCAAAATTTCAATTAAAATTCAATTATTTCCCAAAATTTCAATTCAAAATTAATTATTATCAAAATTTTCAATTAGCAATCAACTAAAATTAATTATTTTCAAATTTTAAATCAACAATCAACTAAAATTAAATTATTTTCAAATTTTCAATTTAAAATTCAATTATTTACCAAGTTTTCAATTTAAAATAAAATAAAATTCAATTATTTTTTAAAATTTCGATTCAAAATTAATTATCGAAACAATGCCAAAAAAACATTGAAAAATTTTAACCAACACAAAATAATGTCAAACAATACATTTAAAAAAAACAAAAGACCTATAACAAATACTAACTTCAAGTGTGGACAGAATGAACGAAAGATATTCACGATTATAATATGTAACTAGCAAAATTACACGCGCGCAAGCGCGCGTCCAACTTTAATTGCAATGGTTATTTTAAAATAATAATAATAATAATAATAATAATAATAATAATAATAATAATAATTCTGCATCAGTGGAGTATTAAATTAATAATAGGTATATTTCTAATTTTCACGTTATCATTTATTTATACACAGAAAAAAATGAGTTTGATGTTATATAAATAAATAAATTTAAGTAAAAATTTTAAAATATAAATATTAAAATTTTAGAAATAAATATTTTTGATAAAGTCAATGTTCGATGAATTTTTTATAATCTTTCAAATTACAAAAAATTAGTTATGCTAAATATTTTTTTGTATTTTCTATAAATATTTCGTTGCAAATGAAAATTTTAAATTTATGTTTTTTTTTCAAAAAATTTAATTAACTGATAATTAATAAATATTGAAAAATTATGTAATCAATAAGAAATTTAAATTAACTGAAAATTATTAATTATATTTTAAAAAGTATTAAGCAATTAAAAAATATTTAAAAATTTTGAAAAAATAAAACCTAAAAAAAATTTGTAATGTTTTAAACTTTAAACTTAAATTAAAAATTAAAATCAAATTGAAAATTTTTTAAAAAAGCAAACTAATTTTTATATTGTTTATAGATAAAAAAATATAACAATTTAATAATTAATAATAATAAATTTATGAATAATAATATATAATAAATAATAATGAATAATGAAAAAATAATGAAAGATAAATAATAATTATAAGTTAAAATGTTCTATTTATCTGTAATAATCATTATATTTAAAAAAATGTATAAGTATATAATATAATAAATTTATAAATAATAATAAAAATTATATTATAATTGAAACTTTTTTTTCTATAAATACCAAGTAGGAAATATACTGGTGCAGCACACAATGAACAGTATTTTTTTTTACTTTAAACTGATACTTAGCATATGACTTAATTAATGACGATGAATAAAAATATCCGTCCCGTTAACCATAAAATATTACGAAATCAAGAATTGTCAAAATTTTAGAAAAACAAAAGGAACAAAATACGACTAACTTCAAGTGTAGACAGACGGAATGAATGAATGAATACGGAAATTATTATAGTTAATAATTATCGATAGTATAAAAAAAAACCACATTTACATAAATTTTTAGAAAATTTTGTTATTCCAATTTTTTAATTAGTAAAATAAGGTTTAATATAAATTTTTAATTCACATTTAATTCAAGCAAGAAGAATATTTTTTTAATTAACTCATTTATAATTTTCTTGATTTTTAAAACTGAATATTAAAACAATGTTTTTCATTTAATAAATTTCTTATTTCAATTTGGTTTTCGATTAAGAAACTTTTATTAGATTCCCAAAAAAACTAGTTTAATAATATAACTAAATTTTTTCAAAAAAAAATTTTGTCTTCAAAGAATTAAGGCAATTTAATATCATATAATAAAAACGGCAAACAAATGTAAAAAAAAATATTATCATTACTTTATTTATTGTATTACCTAAATTTTTTTATTTTTTATTTACAGTACTATATTTTGTAATGGATAAATGGCAATCAGAGGATAAAATTGTAACGAAAGAAATTTTAAAGAAAAATAATTTCACTGATAAACCAACAGAACGAGCAGTATGTCAATTAAAAATTGGCAAAATTGACGAAATTCAATTTACAATTGATAAATTAATGAGTAAATTTCCCAGTGATATTATTTATGAATCGAATGAAAAAACATGGATTCTCGGCGATGGTTGTACGGAACTTGATCGACAAATTGAACGAGCAATTCCAACAATGTTCATTGATGAGACAAGTCTAATTACAGTGAAAATTGTCTCAAATAATAAAAATGATAAGACTGAAAATGAAAATATCGTTAAATTTGAATTGACACTCGTCAATTTTCAATCATTTAAACCAATTTGGCAATGGACACCTGAGGAAAAATATGAAATTGCCCTAAATTATAAAGAATCGGGTGTAAAACTTTTTAAATTAACACGTTATATTGATGCATTTTATAAATTTAGTAAAGCTTGTAAAATTCTAATAACACTCGAACCAATAAATGATTTAAATATAGTTGATGATAATAAGAATTTATTAAAAAATATTCATAATTTACGAATACATCTTTATAATAATATTGCTGAATGTCATATGCATCGTGAAAATTATGATTATGTTATTATACTTTGTAATAAAGTTCTCAATTGTGATGTGAATAATGTAAAAGCACTTTATCGTCGTGGCGTTGCTTATGGTAATCTTCAAAATTTTGACAATGCTGTTGAGGACTTAAAAAAAGTCTTACAACTTGAACCAAATAATTTTCTTGTTAAGGCGAAATTTCATTTTTATAAACAACAATCACAAATTGAAAATAAAAAATACGAAGAAATGGTAAAACGAATGTTTGTTTATGAAAAATAAGTGTTTAAAAAAATTGACTTTTTATATTTTCTATTTGTTTCAATTTTTTTTTTCTTTAAGGTATTTAGATTTAATTTTTATATAAATAATATAAAATGTAAATATTACAGTAATAAAAAATATTTTTCCAATATTTTTTTTTTAATTTAATATTTGTATAAGATTTATCAAAATTATCCTTCATTTTTTGAAAAAAGAATATTAATGCAAATTATCGTTTATCTTTAAAATTATTACAATTAAAATTACACGAAAAGAAAATAAAATAAGTTTATAATTTATTATATGAAAATATGGTTTTTTTCATGACTTGAAAATATTTTTATAAAATTTTGACACTAACGAAAGTAAAATAACTTTTAAAAAAAATTCAAAAATCTTTTTCAAATAGAATCTAGTTGAAATATAATAATTTTCCTATTTTAAATAAATTGTTTACAATTTTTGAAACGTTAAAAAAAATAAATTCAATTTTTTAAATTTGTGTAAAATTAATTGAATCTAAACAGTAAGTATCTATATAAGGAAAAGAAGAATAAAAATACATTTAATTCATTAATTATAAAAATACACATTTATTTCCACCCATGATCACTTACACCACAATATCAACACATCGAGTTTCTCAAATTTAGAGAGCGTTACATTCATTCCAACTTAAAAAGAACAATAACAGAATTTTAACAAAAAAAAAAAAATTATAATTTTCACTTTTTTTTTTTTGGACGTATATATATATTTTTTTTTGAAAATACACAATCGTGACCAGAGTTTCCATAAATTGAATTTTTTTTCGCCTTATTTTCGAAATGATTGTTAAACATTTTTTATATATTATTTTTAAAAAGTCGCAAAAACACAACTACCTTTATTCTATTTATATCTTAAAAACACAGTGAGAAAAAATCAAAATGCATTTAAAATGATAAGTGATTTACTCGTTATTTATTATTTTTTTTATTTAACAATATGTATTTTTATATTATAAAAATTCTGTGATAATTTAAGAAATAAAATCCTAGTTTCATGGCACTCTTTCTTTTTTTTTTAATAGTGCTTTTAATAATAAAGTTTTGAGAGAAAAAACAAATTATAACTTGGAAAAAAATCACACAATTAGTACAAGTTAAAAAAAAAAACCTTCACCCCACTTTCATCGTTATAGTTAATAATAATTTTTTCCTTTTTTTCTTGCTTTTCATGATTATTGTAATCTATATTTTTACATTTATAATAATAATATATGCCACCGGAGTATCTTAATATTCTAGAAAAAAAAAAAAAAAAAAAAAATTGTTTCATCTACCCTCTTGAAAATTTGTCTTTTATATTTTTATTTCAATTTTCGCAAAAATACAGGAAAATTTAATTAAATTTCTGTCTTCAAAAAAATGTTTATTGTCGAAATATTGAAAATTACTAATAAACAAATTTTTCTTCTCTTTTCTCAAGAGTGTAGACCAAAAACAATAATAGTTAAATTTTTTTTATTTATTTACATATAGTCGTTAATTATTATTTTTTCCTTTTATTTGTTGTCTTGGCAAGAATTAAATTCTAAAAAAAATTGTTATTTCCATTTTTTTTTTTTTTTTTTGGGTCTTTGGTTGCAAAGACAAAATTTATCTTTGCAATGTCACTTACGAATTCAGAGTTTGTGTTACTATTATTATGTATTATTATTATTATTATTATTATTATTATATTCGACTAAATAAATAAGAAACTCTGTTTTCGAGAGTGAGACAATTTTATGAAATTAAACAAAAGTTAATAAAAAAAAAAAAGAAAAAAAAAACTTAAAAATAAAAAAGGGACTTGGTCCATTCATTGCAAAAATTGTTTTCTATATAGTAAAATGTTTCTGGCACACAAAGATGATATTTTTCTTATGTATAAACTTATAATGAAAAATTCTCTTGAAAATAGATGAACATATAATATATAAAATACGTAACAAAATACGATAATAGTGGCTTATCGAAATTTTTAATTTGAGCAAAAGACAAAAAATAAGTTTTTTTTTTTTTATATTTAATAATATGTAAATTTTTTTTCGATTTAAAATTTTGATGTTACGTAAAAATTTAAAAATTAGTTATACACTAATAAATATATATATATATACGAAGGATTCATACTTTTTCTTTTCTATAACAGGACAATATATATAAAATTATTAGTGACATATATATATATATATAATAGAAATATCCCGCGATTTTTCAACAATCTAACACTGATTTACAACCAGACTTTTTAATGTACACTACACATTGACTTTTACAAAAGATAACTTTTTTCTTTTTTTTTTTTAAATAGTTATAAGAATTTTTTTTCTGCTCTTCTTTTCGAATTTTTCATTTCCAAGTTTAAGAAATAATTTGCTAATTAAATGTTTCAATTAAAACGTGTATGTGTGTGTGTGTGCGTGAGAGAATTTGTTTGCATTTATAATATAAGAAACTTGGAATTAATCTACATATATATATATTAAAAAAAAAAAAAATCACGGTCACGATCGATCGTTAAGTTAATTTCATTTTACCATTCGATGCGATCGTTGCATTAATCGTCGAATTTGTCGCCATTTCCGCACCACGTGCAACTGCTACACTAACAGATTTTTCCATGAATTGCTGATAAAGTGGTTTCATGAGCTGGAAAATTATAAAAATTTTATTAAAATAAAAACTTTATTATCCTTTTATTTATTTCAAAAATAAATATAAATAATTAATTAAATAAAATATAAAAATAATATTTTTTTTTCAAATAAATTATAATTTTTTAAAATCAATTTATTAAACGCACATTTTTAGATAATGAAAATAAAACAAAAAATTTCTGACATATAGAAACGATATGAATAACATAATTTAGTTATAATTAAAAAAAAAAAACAAATTATTATTTTGTACGCGATATATGGAGAATCATGTGAAATAGATTTTTTATATTTTTACTTTCTCTCAATTATTCAGAATTTATTAACAATTGATTTTTTTTTTTAAATAAAATATTTTCTTTAATTTTGTTTTAATTATTTAATTATTATTGGTAAAAATGTTTTATCATTAAATATCAATTTTGATGGCGTCATGATTATAATACATGACCTTAAGAGGAAATAATTTCATTTTATAAAACTTTTTTTTTCAAAAAAGAAATTAAAAAAAAAAAAACAAACAAAAACACTGACAGAGGAATGTTTCATACCTTTTTTTAAGCGACAATAATTCCTCTAGCACTCAATATCGTTCATTAAGGATTGCGGGGGAGGGAGAAATGAAAGAAAAAAATAAAATCAGCCAAATATGAAAATTAAGAAAAAAATTGAAGTGAAAAAAAAAAAAAATGTATATCAATATTACAATATTAGTTGAACGAAAAGTGCGATTTTTTCTTAATATTGATTTTAATGTGAATATAAAACAAAGTCAGTGTAAGTAAAATGTAAAACAAGTGGAGATCAGATGAGACGATGTTTACGAAGTTGTGAATAAGCGAAAGTATAAGCGGGCATTAAAAAAATGGACAAAAAAATACAAAGAATTAGATATCTCATTTTGTGAACGAGATGAGCGCATTGCCAGGCCTGTTGGAATAAAAAAAAAAAATAACAACAACAACAATAATAATAAATTCCAGTTAATTTCAACAAACCCAATGAATAACTAAAATGAATAAATTTAATTAAATGAAAATTATGTTAAACATTTGAATTTAAATTTTAACCAATGAATCTAAAAAGAAAAAATTTACAAAAAATTATCGAATAAATAATTATTATTATCGTTCCTATAAAAAATAAAATTCACGTAATTCGAAATATTTTGTCCTTTTTTCAAAAGACATATTTCGACTTCAAAAAAAAAAAAAAATTTTCTTATAAATTTTAAGATAATTAATAATTTAATGTTTAATATATTTTAATGTTTCTTGAAAGATTTCTTTTTTCATTTTCCATAAAGTTTTTTTTATGAAATATGACAAACTTTTTGTTTATATTTTTTTATTTCTTTTATTTGTAGAAAAGAAACGTTTTCTGCCTTTGTTTTTTCATGAAAAAATATATATATATATATAATAAAATGGTAAATAAGAGAAAGTACCTTTTTTTACAATGAAATTTTGAATATAAAAATAAAATTACTCACATTTTCCCAAAGAGCACTGGCCAGTTCGTCTATTTTAGTTCCGACTTCTCTCAATTCACCGCTATATCTATTTTTCGCCAATAAATTGAAAATTATTAGTAAAAACAAAAGTGAAAACAATGTATTTACAAATAATTTTTTTTTAAAAATACCTTATAAAACAATAAAAAATTACTCAAAAACATTAATTTTCACTCTTAATTACAAAATTTGTACTTAGAAACGAAATTTATTTAAATTAATTTCAAAAACAAATCTTCCATTTTAATCAAAAATTAAAAATAAATAAAATAAAAATAAATTAAAGAAAATTTATATAATTTTAAAAATGAAATAAAAATAATAAAATTTTTAATTGAAAATGGTAAAAAAAAAAAAATTGGACAAACCTGATGTATGCCCATAATGCTAAAGTTAGTAAACCAACGCCCATAGTGACGTTGCACGCATAAGAAAGTGTATTGAGACCAACTAGTCCGAAAATACCAGAAAAAATGTACATTGTAATTGCAATAGCAAAAAACACTGCTGGAGTTCTTGCTGCTTTAAATATATTTTTACTCTCATTATGCGCTTTAAATTGAAGGAAAGCATCGTCCATGTCCTGCAAAAAAAAAAATTAAAATTTGTACATCAAATTTAATTGATTTTTACTGATTCGATAAAAATAAAAATTTTGTTCTTTTTTATATTAAATAAACTGTTGAGAGTAAAATTTTAATATCTACCTTTATCAATTTTTCCATATACATTTGACTAAATTCTTCGCCGCCCATTTTACGTTTATTTTGAAATTGATGTAAAGCTTTATCCACACATCGTTGATGTTCCGATTCAATGTGAGCGGTTGCCAAAAATGGTTTTGTACCACCGCAAACGCAATCCATCATTTGCATATACAATTCCTTTGCGTCGGCCACTGCTGACAAATTATTTGCCTCGGCAGTTGCCTGGGAAAAATGATTATTATTAAAATCACACGAAAAAAAAAAAAAAAAATATAATAAAGAAAAATAAATTTTGCAATTTTAAAAAGAATTTTAGAAAATTTTCATTCAATTTAAAAAAAAAAAATTAATGTAACAACTTTATATTTTTAATACAAAAAGGATTGATCCTAAAAAAAAGAAATTATAAATATTAAATAAATTAATAACTTACAACAAGCATGCTTTTTGGTTCGGGTAATTCGTCTCCTTTGTAAATTTTAATATAACTTTTGAAATATTCCACTAATTCTCTTGCCTTTACAACTTGACCGTTAATTTTTTTTGTTATTAAATTTTCCGGTGCAAGAAGCATTGGTACAAGGACTCGTAATTGATTTTTAAATTCTGATTCAATATCGGACAATCTGCCGTCAAATTTTGGATTTGTTGCAATACTGAGACCTGAACAAAATTTTATATGAAAATTATTGCTTAATTTTACAATATAAATTTTTAATATTAATGCAAATGTGAAAAAAGAACATTATAATTTTATTTGACACGAATTGTGAAAAAAAAAATATATATATATACACACCAGGATGTGGCATAAGAAAACAGGAAATATCCGAGAAGCACGATGTGATATGTTTCCTTAAACTTTGTAATTCAGGATGTTGTTTATCAGAGATTTGTAATCGCCTTTCCAATATTTTATGTCCCCCATCAGAACCATAATCTGCCTCATAAGGATAACTCCAATCGCGAACAAGAAATTGTAACCTTTGAAATGGTGTACTACCAGATGATTCCAATGCTAATCGTCCATATTCAGTGAATAATTGCAAATGTTGAAGATCATCCTCTTGTATATTTTGTGAGAGATTATAAATTTGTACCGATGATACCATTGTACTTAATGCAAATACAGTTGCACAATCTCTGACAGTTGATTGACTATCAAATGTGCCTTGTGTGTCCATTAAAAGTATCGCAACTTTTTCACCATTTTGCAATGTACTGAGAAATACCTTTGACCACATTAAAATTCCCGTTGTATCGCGTTCAGAGCCACCGCGCCACGAAAATCCACTCAATGGAGCATTCTCATCACCCAGCCAAGCATCGTTTTTTATCTCAAATTCCTTATACTGTGAAAAAACATCGAAATATTTAATTCAAGATGAACTAAAAAGTCCATTATTTCTATTTAAAAAAAAAAAAAAAAAAAAAAAAAAAAAGAAAATTCATACCTTGCTGTTCATGTAACGAAGAAAGAAGTCGAGGAGAAAACTCTTTCCTTTTCTAAAAGCACCGGCGACTGAAACAACGACAACACTTCGATCTTTGATTTCATCTTGAAGGAGAATTTTAGCAAGCGCATCTTCGTCAAGTTCAAAAGTATGATCCGGATGTGCCAATATTATTTGTATCGGTCGACCTGTTTCTTCGATCTCATCATTTTTTTCATTTATATGAACATTTTCAATTCTCTCTCGTTTTCCAAGTGGATCTGAAAAATAATTCTCCACTTATATACAATTACATTTTTTAATTATATTAATATTTATTTTTTTCAATACAAAAAAATATACATATTTTTTTAATCGTAATAATTTTAAATATAAATTTGAAGCACTCGAAATTAAGTAATTGCTGATTTGTTAAAAAAAAAAAAAAAAAAAAAAGAAATTTGTCAACTAAACACTTTTAAATTGTCGCTTATAAACGGAAAAAAAGAACATTATTAAAAAAAAATGTAATATATTCTTTTTAATTTTTAAAACAATTTTAAAGTAAAATAGTAACATTTTCTAATCAAGTTTATCATTTATGATAATATTCATTTAAATGATAATTTCATTCAAATTGAAAATAGAATACAATCATTTAGCATTTGTTTCGTGACTTTGCCACAAGAATTTAATTAATTAATTAAATCACCGAAAACTTTGATGATTTTTTTTCTTTTTAATAATAATGTTTGACGTTTTTTTTTTTTTTTTTTTTTTGCAGGGAAATTTTATAAAATTTTTTTTCTTATCTAAATGTTATTATAATTATTTTACGTCGAGCGTTAATTTTTAAGTCGATTTCTATTATCTTTACTAAAGAAAAAAAAGTAAAGGTTAATATTATTCATGAAATTTAATAAATTTGAACTATACATTTTTCAATGCCTCTCGGCATTTTATCATCATTGATGCCATATTCCCTCGGGAGGGTATTACTTGATATGACGTCATCGTTTGCCCTTGACCTCGACCTGTTTCTCAATTCTTCCGATGTCGTTCTAATCCTTCGCATCTCCTCAAAACGTTTCCGATTGGTCATTCTTTTTTTTTCGCTCATTATATTTAATTTAATTTATTCACATTTACATGATTCTATAAACTTTTCACTAACTTCTTTTTTTTCAACTCACACGCAAAGAAGACAAACAAATTTCTTTTCAAAAAATTTCATTTCTTAACGTAAACAATATAATTTATATTGTTATATTATATTATATTATTATATAATAATAATATTATTAATTATTTAAAAATTTGGTTCTACTTTCCTCAGTGAGGAACATTCGAAATTTAGAGACACTTTTCAATAAAGAGGCGATTCAACTAAGTCGTGAAGATATCTAGAAATAACTTTTAGTTTACTGTTTTGGCAACATTCCACAAACGGTGAAAAATATTTGTTCGGGGTTGATCCTAAACTAGAAATCATCACATTGCCAAAAAGCTAAAAATTCCCTGATTTTTTTTAATTAAGAAAAAATTAAAAATTTTCTAAATTTTAATTTTATCTAAAATTTTTTATTTACAATTTTCTGAAATTTAATAATTTCAATTAATATAAATATTTAGAAATTCAATTACTTTAATGATTTTTATAATATTCTTCGAAAATTCAATTATATCTAAATAAAATTTTCAATTATCGAAAATTTCAATCAAAAAATCACTTGAAGCTCAATTATTTTCAAATATTTGAATAGTAAATATTCGAAAATTCAATTATTTTTAAAAATTTCAAATGTTACTCTTCCAAAATTTAATTATTTAGAAAATTGCAATTAAAAACTCCAAAATTGAGTTGTCAGAAATATATTAAAAAAAAAAAAACTACAGCAGTTTAAATTTGCCAAAAATTTGTTTTAAATTAAATTTTTTCAAAAATCTTCTGCAATTCAATTATTGAAAAAAATAAATTAATATTAATATCTGTAAAAATAAATTACCTATTTAAATTAGATTTGAAAAAATTTAAAAAATGGAACTTTACAAATTTTTTTTTTAGAAAATTTTCCAACTTAATTAAAATTTTTATTTTTTTTGATTCGATACTGAAATATTTTGAAATAAATTTTATTGATAGTATATTTTTATAGAATTATTCTTATTAAGGAATTTATAAAATTTATAAAATTTAAAGTTATTTAAAATATTTTTTAACTAATTAAATTTAGTTAATATAAAAAAAATCGACTTTTTTGGGCGCCTTAAAGTCAAGGCCTGAATGATATTAAAAAAATTTACTTCTTCAAAAATTGAAAAAGAAAAAAATTCAAACAAAAACGTTTACACGATAATTTTAAACGCATCGCGAGAAATTCTTGGGCTCATTCGCGATAATAAACATCATTATGTCATAAAACGTGCGCTCAAAAAAAAAAAAAAAAAAAAATTTGAAGAGAGGAGAAAAAAAAGGTTATTAGGGATTGATGGTTTCTTAAATAAATATCTCTTTCGTATATAGACGAGAAAGTACGTCATAAATTCACATATAGTTTGCACCTCCATATAATAGGACCCGCCCGCCCGCGTGGTAGCAAAAGCGATCGTTATTGCACTTTTAGAATCTGCTCGTATGTTATGCAGTTAATCCACTCGCAACTCGTGAAAATAAATTGTAGAATCAAGAACACTATGTGTTTTTATCGCTTTAAGGCGATAAAGAAAAATATTCCCAGTTTATCCCAGAAACGATAAATAAGCATATCCAAATATATACCTATATTTTACCTACATCTTTTGCAAGCGCTGAAAAGCGCTAATTATACTTAGACTAAATTGTGTTTGTTTAAATTAATTTTTTCAATTTACATTTTTTCCAACTATGACTACTTTAATTATTAACTATTTTTTTTTATTTATTATCGTAAATTATGTATTTTAATTCATCTTATTAGTTATCGCATTCTTTTTTTTTTTTTTTTTTAATTAAAAAAATTATTTTTATACAATTCAAAATTTAGTACAAAAATACAGGCCTCGGATCGACTTTAAGGCACAAAAAAAGTCGAAAAAGTCCATTTTTTTTTTTATTTTAATAAAATTTAATTGGTTAATAAATATTTTCCTTTAAATAACTAATGTTATTAGATATTAAATTAATTTTGTTGGTAATTGAATTTTTAAATTTAAAATTTATTTATTTAAATTTAAATTAAATAATTAAATTAATTTTATTAATTCTGTAATGAGAATAATTGTATAAGAATATTATCAAGAAAATTTATTTCGAATATTTCAAAATCAAACTAATTATAAGACAATTTTTCAAAAATTTTTTTTTTAAGGACAAATTTAAAAAAAAAAAATAATTCTTAGTTCCATTTTTATAATTTTTTAAAGTTCAATTAAAATAATTTATTTGAATTAAAAATTTTGTCATAGTTTTTAGTTTTGATGGTCAAAAAAATTTCAGGCAATATTTAATCAAGTTTTACAGATTTTTAAATAAATTTTTTTTTTTAAATAATAATTTTGAAAGAATTAAAGTCGAAATTTTTAGAAATAATTGAATTTCAAAAGATTTTGTTAATTTTCAAAACAATATAGGATTAAATTTTACAGAATTAAAAATATAATTTATCAAATAATTTTAGATAACATTTCTTTAAAGTAATTAAATATTCAAAGATTTATAATTTAGATATTTGAAATTAATTAAATTTCAAGTGATCTTTATTTTAAAATTTTTGATTTATTTAATTTATTTATTTTCACTGAAAAATTTATTAGAAATTGCATAAAAAAAATACAATAATTTGAAACCTATTTTTTAATTAAAAATTTGTTTTAGATATTTGAATTTTTGGAAAAATATTATAAAAAAACAATAAAAATAATTGAATTTCAAAAGATTGTGTTAAATTTCAGACAATTAATTGTAATAAAAGAAATATTTAGTGATTTCTGTTGATGAAGAATTTATTAGAAATTGCATAAAAAAATTTTAATTCCAAAAGTTTTTAATTGAAAAATACTTTCAGATAATTGAATTGTCGAAGATTATAAAAATCATTAAAAATAATAATTAAAATTTTTGCAAATAATTAAATTTCAAGTGATTTTAAATAAAAAATTTTTGATAATTTTATTTGCTAATTTTTTTTTTAAATTAGGTAAACAATTATTAAATTTCATAAAAGTTTTAATTGAAAAATAGTTTAAAATAATTGAATTTGTGAAGAATTTTATTGAAATTATTAAATATAATTAATTTTTTGAAGAAGTTTAGTTAAAAATTTATTAAATCATTGAAATAAAGAAGATTTGAATAAGATCTGCATTGCATAATTAAAAAAACGTGTTGTGTGTAAATTTTTTTTTTTTTTTAAATGTAAAAAAAAGTCGAAAAAGTCGCATTTTATTAAAATAAGTCGAAAAAAGTCGTATAATCCGAGGTCTGAGATAATTAATAAAAGTTAATAAAAAATGAAATATTTTATAAACAAAGTTAGTGTAACTTTGTAAATTAATATTTTTTTTTATTAACTTTTATTAATTAATTATTTAAAAAAAAAATGATATTAAATTTTTTTTTTATTCATTCTCGTCGAACACTATTGTTCGAATTTCATTTAGGCTTTGGATAATTTTGCAAATTTACTCGTGCAACGTTTATCGTTTTCCCTTGTGCATACACACAAACATATTTAAAGGGAAATTCTATTTGATTTACTGAAATGCTCTGAATTTAATGCTATAAAATGAAGAGAAATCGGTGGTCCTTTAAAATTTAATCTCATATTTTACGAACCACATTTCATAATTCAAAAAATTAACTATGATCAATTTTACAAAAGGCATTTTCCAATTCATAAGTATAAAGTCTCCCCTTCATTAAATATTCATTTAAAAAATAAAATCATTCTAATATATTATATTATGATAAAATATTAATTTTTAGATAAATTTCAATAATTTCATTTGAAAAATATTTTATGTACTTTTTTTTATATAAATTATAAACATAATTTATTGAATAATAATAATTATTATTATTATTATTTAAATAAGTTTAAATATATATTTTATTTGTTATATTTTATTTATAGCATAAATTAATAATTCTTTATTCAATTTTTAATTGTTTTTTTTATTTTTTTTAATGAAGAAATAAAACTTTTATTTAAATTATAATTAATCAACATACACTTAAACAATATTTAGTAATTTTTAAATTATGCCCTTGATTTATTTTTATGTCCATGACGAATCTCAATAATAATTGATGACATCAGCTTTTTTATTTTCTTTCTTTAACTTAATCTCTTTAAATCAGTGAAAATAAATGTAAATTCATTTTTTTTCAATAATATTTTTAAAAATTGCTTAGCTATATATTTATTTTTGTGAATTTTGTATTATTTAGATAAAAAGATAATTACTATTTCATTATAAATTATAATAAAATAATACTAATAATAATTATTAATTTTCTTAATTTAAAAATATGTTAAAAATTAAAAATTCATTATTCATAATCAATTAACATTTATAAGATTAATTAATTTATGATTTAATTTTATAAATTTAAAACTAATAATATATTCATCAAATATTTTAAAAATAAACATTTCAAAAAATATTGATCATGAATTTTAAAATATTTTATAATATTTAAAAGGAAAAAATAAAAAAACAAATTTTAATTGAAAATTTGAATAATTGTTAGAATTATTAAATTATAAATTTATAACTGGAAATAATAGAAAAAACTAGAAAAAAAATGTTTCATTTGAAATACGCATTCTAATATTATTCTAAAATTTTAAAGAACGAATTAAAAAATTATTAAAGTTGAAAATTTGAAAAAAAAATTAAATTTAAATGTATGAAATTCAAAAGAATCATTTTGTTCAATACATTTTATTGTGATAATTTTCAATTTCTTTTACCATTTGCTTTTATTCAATAAAAAAAAAAAAAAAAAGAAAGAAAAATCTCTGAAAGAAGGAAAAATAATTAAATTTAGGAATTTAATCTTGTGTGCCTTTTAAAATTTAAATCCACACTGAAATAGTTGACAATATTTGTCACTAGACGGCGATACGTTCGCACCATGCTTTCTGCCTTGAAAGCAGTAGCAGCAATCAGCTGCTTTTTCTCTAATTAAATAAAAAATCAATTTTACACATCTACTTCACGACATATTTCGCAAGTCATTTATTTATTTTTCTTTTTTTTTTATTGAGACACACATTAAATATATTTTTATCTTTTTTTTTTTAATAAATTATTTATTATTGTAAATTTAAGACCGTTTTGACAAAAAAGAAAAAAAATACATCACCATTTACATCTTTAACACATTTTTTTACGGATGATGTATGGTAAACAATTTAATTTTTCTGAGTTTGATGTATCACATGATAATGTTTTAACACACGAGAATCAATTAATAACACTAAATAAAGAGACACAAAGCTTGAATTAAGAGGGGGAAAATAACTGTCAAACTTAATTTCACGATTTTTCTATGGAAAAAATGACAAATCTTCGATATTTCTCAATATTGAATATAATTGAGAATAGAATTTTTAATAAGTCAAATGACAATTTAGGTACGAAAAAATTGATTCCAGAATTGTGAATGTGTATATGTATGTATGTTTGTGAAACATCGAAAGAAGGCAATAACAGAAAATTATATATATCAAAAAACGCATATAGTTAAAACACATACGACACGACGGAAAGAGATGATTCTTTTTGTAGGTTAAGTATATAAACGAACACTAAAATTAAATTTGTGAAAATTGTAAATATTTTTTTTAATTATGCTTATTAATAGAAATTAGAATGGAATATCTTATTAAAAGACTTACCAACATACGAGGTATCGCAGTCGCCACTCTGTTTACGTTCCTTAGTATCCGCCATATTGAGTTACGAATCAACATACAACTTCCGGAGATGCGCGAGTGTCAAACGTGTCACAAACCACTTTGCGTTTACTACGTAAACGTATACATATATGTGTAACGTCATTAAAGTTCAAATCGAGGTTAAAGAAAAGAAAAAAAAAATTAATTTTTTCACGTTGCATGCTACGTTTTGCATGCATGTATAATTGCAGTAAAAAAAAACAACAATAAATTCATGTCATTTTTATTGCTCGTCATTGTCTGAATTTAATTATTTTGTACAATGTTAAGGTTATGTTTGCGCGCTTTTTAAATATATAAATTATTAATATAAATAAAACAATGTATAAATATATTTGAAAATCAAAAATATTTTTGAATTATTCTTAAGAAAGAACCTTATTTGTTTTCAAACTTTCAATTGGTAAGTTTAGAATTACACTAACGCTTGATTTGTTTGTAAAATATTTCATTTTTTATTAATATTAATTAATTAATTAATGTTTTGAAAACAAAAAAAAACAACATTTTCTTTACTAGAAGTAAACATTTTAAGCTTTATTTTAAGGGGTAAAAAAAGAAATAAAAAGTGGTATATATCCTTAAACTAAATGAAACAAGGAGGGGATCCTTTATGTTTATTTCATAAACATTTTGCTTCCTCATTGTGTGAAGTAAAAAAATTTGCTTCCTCGTGGAGGAAGCTATGAATTTCTCTAATTCATTAATTTATTTAAAACATTTCAAGTTAAAATCTGATTTAAATTAATTAAATTTTTTGAAAAATTAAGAAAATTTTAATTCGTTTTGGGTGTGACATATTACAGGGTGTCTAACGGTCAGGGAAACGTCTATAAAAGCAGCCCCAAAAAAGAAATGGTTGGCTGCACAGACAAGACTGAGAGGAATCGTACTGCAGTATAATGAACACCGGAAAAATAATCGAGAACTCGATTATTTAAAAAAACTGTCTTTCTACATTGCCTTTTAAATTTTTTATAAATTAATTATTTTGAATACTTATATTTTTGGACAATTTGATATATCATATTATGTGACTATAATATTATGCAACTAATAATAAATGAACTATAATGATAAATTACATGCTACAAATAATATTTTTAATAAAAAAAAAAAAAATTTCGGGTTTTTAGACCTTTGGGAAAAAGGTTTTCGGAAAATTTTACATTCAGGAATTTGGACTTTCGGGAAATTCGATTCGAGAATATGTCCGGATACCGTATATTCTTGAACATTGCTAAAAATTTTTTAATACTTTCAAAATAACATTATTATTAAATTATTGTCGTTAATTAACTTTATTGTCAAATTTTTAATTATAATTAATTATATTTATTATAAAAATTTTAAATCTTTATTAAATTACTATTTTTGTATTTATTCTTTTTATTTAGTTTAAAGCATGTACTTCAAATTATTTTATTATTTGTGTTTATTTATTAATATAAATACGTAACAGTGACGTGAGTAATATGAATTATTTTATATGATTATTATAATTAATATTGACATGAAATTCTCAAATACAAATTCATGGAAATTAGAAGTCAAATGTATATTGATGTTATTTTATCAAATTTATTTTCCGTTTGAAGAGTAATCCATGGAAAATCTAAAAAATTAAATACACCCAAAAAAAAGTAATCTTAAATTTAGAGGAAAATACCATTTTTTATTATTATTGTAATTAAATCTAATATATTAATGCTCAGAAAAAAGCAAGAAATTTTTTTCAGAAATGTTTAATTAAAAACCAATATTTCATTCTTTATTCCAGGAATCTATTATAATTTACCTTTTTTGAATGTAAATAATTAAATCTTATTAAATATTTATTATATTATTCAAATTTAAAAAAATTATTGGTTCTCTTGACATTAATAACACTAGGAATTTTTTTTGTTGAGGTTTTGATATCAACATTTAATTTAGTGTGTCAAAACTGTACTTTATTATCAATATACATATAACCATTATTGTAGTAAGTAATTATTAATACATGTTTATCATTATATAAATGAAAATTGAAATGTCAAAATTTTCTGAATTTGGAATAAATTTTTGATATTTTCAATATTGCTTAGCTTTCTGTTTATTATTTTTATATCTTCTACACGGAAAGAAAATAAATATGAAATTTTATAAAAACATTTTCAAATTTAGTAAAAAAAGCTAGTATTTGATTCACTAATTTTCATTTACTTCAAACTAGTAAAATATTCTTCGATCAAGAAAATGATGAATCAAATACAGATAAGTAAATGGGTTTTCTTGATACAATACAATTTTCCTCCAGTGTTGCATTTTCATCAATAAACTATTTCTAATGTTCATAATCAATTAACTATAGTTATAGAGTCTGCTATAGAATATTCGTCAATTTTCTATTTGCCGAAGACTCTTCAGGCAATTAGCTTAATAACTAGGCAATTAAATAAATTACTGATTGAATTTGGGCCAAAGTTGCCTACTTACTACTTTTATCTTATGAAAATTACTACATATCAATGAGAATAATAATTTTTATTTTTCCATCTATTGAATACTTAAAAATATTTTTTAAAGATATTTTTTAATTAAATTTTATGCATGAAAATTTTTCTTTTCGGTAATATAAATCACACTTGTTGATGATAATATTAATCAATGTTTTCATTATACGAAATTTTTAAACACATTGGCATTCGTCGTGAGTGATTCTTTTTTGTTTAGTTTACTTTATTTAAAAAATGTGTTATCGAACATTCCAATAATGTAGGTCATTCTTGATATTATAACAAAGAGAACAATGAAAAAGGTATTCGCTAATTGCTGATGCCTATGGAATAATAGTCTGTCCCAATCGAGAAAATTTCGTTAATTTCAAAGTAAAATGCTTGTCCAGTTTCTTTTCTTAGGATTTTAACATACCTAACTACTAAACTCAATTGATTCTAATGATATAAGATGATATCGATCATTCCGAGTAAAGGATTAAATAAAACACTATTCTTTACGTTTCAATGGCACAGCCATCCTCTTCAGAAACTTAAAAAGAATGAAACATTATTTATAAAAAGAATTTTTCGTTAGAATAAATAAAATTTAGAAGTGATTAACCGTCTCAATAGACACGATTGCTATAAATTGATTCTATTTTCTTAATATTTTGAGTTGTATCAAATATGCAAGAAAAAAAGAGCTTGCCTTAATTTTATGAATTAACATTTGATTGTCTAAACAATCTATCATTTCATTTTGAATCGTCAATTTGTATATTGACGTTATTTAATCAAGATTACTTTCTCTATACTGGTTAACGAATTAAAAATGTACAAAATTAAAATGTAATTATATTCGTGTACATGCTTATCATATAAATTCATAATCATAATTGAAATAATGTGTGCCTAATCAATTTTTTTAATGTGACGATGTTTTGAAATTGGAGAATAAAATAAATTATTTAAAAAGTTATTATCAAATTTTTGAAAAACAAAGAAGGATTTTCGTATATAAACCGAAAGCAAACACGACAAATATCATCTTAGTACAAGACATTGTATAACAAACAAAATGAACAATTTTCAAATATTTTCCATTTTGTTTGGCATTCTGCTCATTACTTTGATATCTTCTGATGCAGGGACCATTAAATCTTTATTGAAAAATGTAAGTTTTTTATTAATTTCCATTTCATTTTCGAATAAACTTTTTATAGTAGTATAAATATATTCTAGTATGGTCTAAAATGTATTCCTTTGATTTCTCCAAAGTTATCCCAAAGTGAAAAAATATACCTGTATATGATTTTTTTTTTAAATTGGAAAATATTTAAAAGTTGCTTAAAAACCCACGAAACTAACAGTAAAAACTCCATAAAGCACCAATAATAATTTTCTTATAAAATTGTCAAAAATCAATCAAATCATTTCTGCTTTGAACTAGTTCTTGAAGAGGGATTAAAAAATGATAATCAATAGTTTATTTAATAATTTGTTAATATAAACTATTTTTTATGGTGGTTTTTCAAAAATTTCATAAAGTTTTTGATAGTTATTATAATTTGAGTGGTCTTTGACGATTGTATTTTTAATGTAGGTAAATGTATGCTATCTGATATATTTTTATATTTTGAAATTATAAATTAATTAAATTTGCACGAATAAAATAAATGTTCGCAGATTAAATACTTTTGTATATTTTTATACGATATTTTTTAAACAAATATATTATACATATATAATTCAACCTTATTTTAGTATTGATATAAAGTTGAAAATATTTAAATTTGTTTAAAACATATTTTCTAGTTGATTTAATGTAAATAATATATTTAATGTAAAAATATATATATTATTTGGTAGATTTTAAACTATATTTACATAATTATGTTTTTAATTAAAATCAAATATAAATTATTATTGAACACAATAATATTGCACAGCTGCACGGAGAAAAAGGAATAGTTAGCCTAACTGAATATCTAGTTAGACTTACTATTCGGCGTAGTGAAATATGGGCGCACTAAGCAGCGTAGTTACACTTACTAAACGCTCTAGTCATAGTGGTGTAGTCAGACGCACTAATCTATTTAGTTAGTTTTACTAAGTGGCGTAGTAAAACCTACTACGCTCTTTAGTTAGTTTAACTAATTAGCGTATTAAAACATACTATACTCTTTAGTTAGTTTAACTAATTAGTGTAGTCAAACGCACTAATCTCATTAGTTAGGCTAACTCATTTAATAAGTAATACATACTATGATCTTTAGTTAGTTTAACTAATTGGCTTAGTAAAACACAGTAATTCCAATAGTCAGGTTTACTAATTTTCTTAGTAAAATACACTACGTTATTTAGTTAGTTTAACTAATTGTTTGAGTGAAACACACTACTCTGTTTAATCATACTAAATATGTAGTTTTATGGTATTAAAAAAAGAAGTTAATTATAATTATATAATTTATTGTATCCAATGTTAACATTTTTGCAATTGAATCACTTAACAAATTTTTCCTTACATATTTTTATTTACATTTATAATATAGTTTTACTACATAAAACAAATCAAAATATTTCAAATAGTTTTAACTATAATAGTACACTTTATTAATTCAATTAATAACGGACACAAAATGTTTCACTATATATTGAAAATTAACACAGTTTAATAAAAATGATCACTATATGTCTTATAAATTATTAGTTTTAAAATTATTTAAACACACATTTCACAATTTCGACGCTTTGCGTACGTAGAACAAATTTTAGCATGTTATTAGACAAATACAACAATTAAAGATGTTATTCATAATAAAATAAATTTCGAAATTGATAAATTTTGATAGTTTCACTTTTAAAAATAAAAAAAATCACGAACGGTTTTAACTCGAACCAGGCAAATGCTCGAGAGCAACTGACGCTTGAGAGGACTTTTCTATGGGAATTCTTTTGACAATATTGAAAACGTTGGAATATTTGCTATACTTATTTTCATCCGAATAGTTTCTCAAATTTTTTGCCATCATAAATCGTTTAGAAAAAAGTGGGAAAGGAAAAACTCATAAAATTGTCCCTTTTGTAACTAAAAACCTTTATAACTGGCCACGGCCAGCCTAAGACAAACCAGATGTTCTATCGTGGAACAGAGTATATACTTATATACTATATATATATTATATACCATATATATACTGTAGTGTTTAAGGTATAGTGTGTTATAAACAAAATAAATATTATATATTTAATATATATTCCATAACTATATTAAAATAAGGTATTTCTTATAATAAATAATAAATTATATCAATTCACGTATTATATTACAATAATAATTTTATTAATAATTATTTTTAGATTTATTTTATTTAAGAGAATTTAAATGAATTTAAAAAACAATTAAATATTTAGCTTCTTTAAATAAAATAATTTTATAAATAAACATTAATTTTATTTTATCAGTGTAGAATAATACTAAAATTTAATTAATTCATTATTTATTATATATATTTATCTATTATAAATAAATAATAAGTAAAAAATAAAATGGGTTCGTATTGTCTTATTATTTAATTAACTTAATAATTAGTCATTATGTAACCTTTTTAACATGTTTTTGTGATAAAAAATTGATGATAATGTCATTGACTACTAGGGCATAGTTATTATATCTTAATAATTAGTAACACCTACTAAACGAAATAGTTGGAAATACTATGATCGCATTGTACTATGCAGTCTAGTACGTCGAACTGGATGCCTAGTAAGAGAAACTATTTTGACGTCAACTAAACACCATAGTTTTTTTAACTAGTTGGCATAGTAATTCTAACTATTCGTTTAGTTACGGGAACTAGTTAATCAGTTAGCCCTATTATTCGGCTTTGACTATTTCTGTCTAGTAAGTCTCACTACTCCTTTTCTCTCCGTGTGCAATATAAAGTTAGTTTGTATAAGATTTGTTGAATTGCAGTAAACCAACGCTAAAAATTGTCTGAATTTGTCAATTTTCTTTGGTATTTCGTTTACACTTTTAATATTTTAAGTATTATTTTGCAACGTTTTAAATCAGATAATGTTGTATCGTATATTTAAAATTCAAAATTTTAATTATCATTAATTCATTCAAAAAAATTAATCTTCAATCTTAATATTAATTGTACATTGTTTTTTATTTTCAGGATCTATATTCAAAATTGTTAGTCAAACGCTCACCAGATTGGTAATTAAACTTTTTAATTTAAATAATTTTTTTTTTTTGTGAAAATTATAAGGCAAAGTTTTTTTTTTTAGTTAGAACTAAAAAAAAATAATCTAAATTTTATAGGATTGCTTTCATTTTTATATATTTTTATTTATTTTTTTTAATACATTCCTGAAAATATATTGAGATTTTGTAAAATGTTTCAGAGTGTGCCTGATAAAACTTTTTGTTGAAAAAATTAAAAAAAAAAAATTTTTTTCAGTTTTTAAATTAAAATGTTTGCTTTTTATAAGTAAAGCGAATTATATTAACAAATAAAAAATGTGTTGTTTTGAAAAATAAAAAAAAGATTAAAAAATAGTTGTGTTTAACATATTACATATTTTCTTTAGGTCTGTTCTAAAACTTTTTTGCTTTAGTTTAGATAAAGAAATTTTATTTTTTCAAAATAAAAATTGAGAAAAATTTTATTTACCATTATGTATTTGTTCATAAAGAAATCTGATAAGTACTTGAGAAAATTGAAATATTCAATTTTATTTTAATATCATCTTTTATAAATCGTTTTTAAGGGGTTAGTCGCAGTTATAATTTTAAAAACTCTTCTAGAAAAAGTCAATTGAACATGATTCAGAACGATTGAGTATAAAAATTTCTTAATGGTAATATTATCGGTTAATATTACTATAATATTACGTGCTACTTTGGTAATCTTTGAAACAATGATATTTTTCTAGACTGTTTAATTAGTTACCATTCTTAAAATTTTCAAAAACTTCCGCCAAATAATAGTGCATTCAGTACATTTTTGTCGAGCTGCGCAATGATCATTTACATTAAAGTTAAAACTTTAAACGCGTTTTTCTCGGAATTATGTTTTAGAAAGCAGTGACCACGATTTGTCGAGAACCGCTTAGCTTGACCGAATTATTTTATATTGTGCAGGCTTCTTTAATATATCAAAACTCGCTGCTTGATCATAGATATTTTATTAAAAATAAATATTTTTTAAAAAAGCTACAATCAAATAGCGTAGGAACTAGTAAACTAAAAATATGAGAAATGGTTGTGGTCACCCCAAAAACCTTTCCAAAGATCATCTTCCAGCGAAATAGCTGTGTTTCTTTTAATTATTTATATTCTGTAATAAAATAGTAATAAAAGTGTGAACTTTGTAGTGGACAAATTTTTAGAGAAAAATCGCCAAAAACATGCATTTTTCGATCATCTGACTGCGACTAACCCATTAAAGCATCCCTATAGTAGAAATTTGTCCTAGCTATAATAAAAGAACTGGCCTGTCGTGCTTGAATTTGTCTAGTTACTTTACTAGTCAGCTCGTTAAAATCTCGAATGTCATGTCACAATTTTTTCATCAAGTTATTATCCAGCACAACTTGATAATTATATTTGTCAATATGACTTTTAAAAAACTAATTAAATTAATACATTCGTCTCTGATTCATGACAGCTGCAAACATTTACAACAAATAATGCTTTGCAAGTGTATATTTATTGCAATTAAGTAAGTTATGTAAAAAATATATATGTGGAACAATAATTTACGGTGATTTTCATAAAATGAATATTGATTTATATGCTCTTGAAAGCAAAGTTCATTTTTTCTTACATTTAATTTTTTCGACCACCGAGGTATTACGATACATTTTCATGTGTTTTGTATGCACTGTCTTTTTTAAGAAAGGAATATTAATATTATTAATTTATTAAATAATTAATTTTTATAAACAAGTTGTAATTTTTTTACACCAAGCAAGCAAGCGAAATGTCAATACACAAAATCCTAGCACAACTGTCCAGTTACTAGACTTCACAGAAAATTAAAAGGCATTAAAATAAGCTGCAACGCTTCTTATTTTAATCCAATTTTGCTTATTTTAATCCATTTTGGTATTAAAATAAGCAAAATTGGATTAAAATAAGAAGCGTTGCAGCTTATTTTAATG